CTCTTCAATTACCACTCCATTTGCATCTGTATTTTTACTTCCCCATATTTTATTATGAGAATTGAAATCACCACACCACAAAGTCTTGCCAACATTCTGTACATTTACTTCATTGAGTTCTTGAATGGACAGTTTTTTGTTCGTATTATAAAAATTTATCACTGTAATCTGACCATTTTCTATCCAAATTTTTATTACTATTGCTTCATGATTTTTACTAATTGATTCTACTTTATATCTTAGACCATTCTGTATAAAAGTTGCCACTCCCCCACCTTGTTTTTTCCTCCTGTCATTTCTAATTGCTGAATATCCATGTATTATGAAGTCCAATTGGGGCCAGGTTTCTTGTATGCAAATCAGATGCGATTTCACTATTAAATCAGAAATGTATTTTTTAAATTCTAATCCATTACTAAGTAGACTTCTAGCATTCCATTGAAGTATGGTTAACATGAGGAGGAAATGCCACTGCTGCATGATTGAGTTTGAGAAGATTGTATCTCATTTAGTTTTGCTTTGATTGATTCCCAGCTGACATTTTTGTAGTCTAGATATTTTTGAGCTGCCTTTACTATTATTTGTATTTTTTCCGTTTTTCTTTGTGTTTGAGCAGTACAATTCACAACCTCAACCATGAACAACACAAAATCCTCCTTGTTCATGATTAAAGTGTCTTCTTTTACTTTGCATCCTTCTGTAACATGCGATTCTACTTTTCCTGTTTCCGGTATGTTCTTTGGATAATTAATTGGTTTCACAGGGACTTTCTTTATAGCTTCAGCATATGTGATACCTGTAGTGACTTTAAGTTTTTGGATATCCCCGGCTCTTTTACTAGCTTCACATCCCCTAAATCCTGAGCTTTGTTCACCTCCACAATTACAGCATTTCAGTGGCACTCCTTCTTTACATTTCCCATATTCGTGGTCCCCAGCACATCTCCCACACTTCTGTTTTCCTTTGCATACTGCTGCTATATGTCCATATTTCTGACATTTAAAACACCGTAATGGTGGAGGGATAAATGGTCGGACATTATAACTGATATAACCCACAAACACCTTGTCCGGCAGACTTTTTCTTCGAATTTCAACATTATGGAAAAGCTATCAAGGGCAGCACGGTGGCGCAACTGGTAGAGCTGCTGCCTCTCAGCGAGCAGGTCCCTGGTTCAAACCCCGGTCCAGGGGCCTTTCTGGGTGGAGTTTGCATGTTCTCTCCGTGCATGCGTGGGTTTTCTCCGGGTACTCCGGTTTCCTCCCACAGACCAAAAACATGCATGTTAGGCTGATTGGTAACTCTAAATTGTCCCTAGGTGTGAGTGTGAATGGTTGTTTGTCTCGTTTGTCTCTATGTGTCCCTGTGATGGACTTGCGACCCGTCCAGGGTGTCCCCCGCCCCTCGCACAGTGATTGCTGGACATGGGCACCGGCGACCCCCGTGACCCAAAATGGAACAAGCGGGTAAAGAAAATGGATGGATGGATGGAAAAGCTATCACTTTTTTCTCCATTTTTATTTCTTGTCAGTCGTTTGGCTTCTACTACTCTCCCTCCTGAGACATTAGATTTAATCTCCTCAATTGTCACCGTAGGATGTATTCCGGATATAACGCCACAAACATATTTTTTGTCATCAATTAGTTTCCCACTCACATTTTCACCTAGGATTTTTCCTACATGTAGTGCTCTGTCTTTTTGTTTCACATCATTACATATGATCAATACAGATCCATCTCTAAGCACTTTTACAAGTATCACTTTTCCAATTAGCGAGTTGATTTCTTTAGTAAGCTTAATCGGGTTTAACGTACCAAATGACATTCCTTCTTTAACAAACTTTAAGATGATTTTAAACTCTATCACCTTCACTATTTCATCTTCAGCTTCTGAAACTGACGACTCTACTTGATGTTTTGCTTTTTTCCGTTTGTGTTTAGATTTATGGGTCTGCCATATCCCATCATTTTCAACACCATCCGCTCCCTCTTCCATTTCTGCTAAATCACTTCCTGACAAATCATTTCCCTCTGACATCCTTCCAACCATTCACAGCTCAGCCGTGTCTTACCCCCTTCTTTCTCCCAACAAACCTCAAACAAGTGTCAATTGTCCCTTCAGCTCTCTTACCCTCACGGTTGACAGTTCAACCCTTGTCGGGTAAAAGGTTCCCACGTCAGGAAATATTTAAGTATTTGATTATTTTAGTTTTATTTAAAGAAACAACAAATTTAATATTTCCGCGAAAATTTTTAAGTGTGCAATTAAGTAGAAACTGTTTTTTTTTTTAATCGATTAGATCACTGATTTACATAATTTTTACCATTTTTCAAATTAAAGTTACTTTCTTGCAAGTAATACACAATTTAAAAAAAATACATATTTAATATTTATACTTTTACCATTTTTTTTATTCACAGTCTTATCATTTACATTTGGGAGAAGATTTTCTATTATTTTATTATCATGTAATACATTTTTCTGATCAAGCAGAGTAATACATCAAGGGATAAATTACAAAAATACTCAACTAGAGACCAATTTGTTTAGAACTGTGATTTTGAATTTAGAAAAACAAGTATGTATAGCTCTTACACTGGGACGACGAATTGCCAGCTAAAACAATAAAATTATTGTATTATTTTTAACTCCTTCATAGAGGAATTGTTGGTTGTTCCCTATCAGTACAAACAACATTTTTAGTGAGGTTAAAATGTTATAAAATGAAATATATAGCATAATGTATCATACTGCACAAACTGTTTTACGCTAAACCTGAAATCCCATACTGCCCATATTAAAAATTACTTTGTTAAATTTTAACAATCAAAACAGGCAAATTCAGTTTTATAACCTTAACAAGAAAAAAAAACTCGGATGACATCATCTGAAGATAAATCAGTTATAATCTTTTTAACTTGCTTTTGTAAGTACATAAAACAATTCAAGCACAAGTTTACATGCATTTTGTTTCAATAGTATATTTACAAAACATTTTATTTCAAGTTCCATCCATGTTCGGACTTTCACAGAGGATTAGACCGGGCATTATGTCATTTATTCTTTACTGCTCAAATCATTCTAATGTCCCATCAGGAAGAATCAAAGTGTCTTTTGAAACAAATACAAATCTTCCAGTGTGGCTAAAGCCATCTCTGTGCAAAAAGTCTCATCTGGCAACGACACCAAGCGGTCCAGGGAGATGAAGTTGGGCAGGGTTGGGTCGTACTGAGCTTTTCCAAGATACTCCAGGAACAAGTGACGCTCTTTGAGACGCAAGAGATTAGTGTTGAAGACCTAGAAGTAGAATCAAAAATTTGTTTAATAACTTTATTCAGACAAAAATCAAATGAAATCGGTGTCAATAGACCATAAATATGTGCTGCGGGGGCACATACCTGAGGGAACTTTGTTATCAAGTGATGAGGAACTTTCATGGTGTTGTGAAGGAAGTCAAATATCCGTGTGAGTTTCTGTTTTTTGGCTGTCAGCATCTTAGGAACAGCAATGACCATGTGCTGGATCTCATTTAGCTTGAATCCAAGCTCTATCTCATACACCTGTGGAACACATTTACAGAAGGCGTTTAGAAAATCACCTAAAAATTAACTAAGCTATGCTGTGTAGTGATTTACGCCATCTCTCGTTACCTTTAAATTTTCTTTAACAGGCTCCAAGCTGCCACACAGTAATCTGGGAAGACGAGCTATAATGTTCCGCGTCTGCAGGAAGACAATATTATTTATTAAACATGCTGTCGAAATATGTGGTGCAAAGAAATTGCTTTTTAAGATAAGGAAATCTCTGGTGTATCAAGTCTCACTGAATGTTCTCACAACCATTACGTACATTAGAAGCACTGAGTTTGAGTTGATGCTGATAAAAACCCAGTCTGTTGTCCAGCCTCTTCACATCAAAGTTGAGCAGGTAAGGAGCTTTGGACACCATAGATGCAACGGTTTCTGTACTGAACTTCTTTGACACGAGATAGTTTACCCTTAATAAATAAAAGAGAAAATATTACCCATGTAGACTCAATGCAAATGCAGAGAAAAACCTTGCATCATTTCTAAAACATAAAAAGGTATCAACATATATATATATATATATATATATATATATATATATAATATTCTAAATCATTTCATGTTACCTGGTCTGAAGGTTCTCCAGCTCCTCAGTGAGAATGAAAGGGTTGTGAGAGATAATGTAGCCTAAGCGCGAGTCCTCCACTCCAATATTTTTGAGAAACAGCAGCCGAGGTGCAACATCTGTGCTGAAGTCAAGTCTCAGCAACATGGAGCCAACATTGGGCCTTTGTTCCAGCTTCCACAAATCAACCCCTGCAATGAGAGAGGGTGATTAAAAAAAAAAAAAAACAATTCAACAGTGGATGGAAAGAGCAATATGAAATATGACACAGGTCTCTCTTGTAAATGAGTCCTCGAGGCTCAGTATGACCTACCTGTATAAATAAAGGTTGAATTGAATTGAAAATACTGATTTTTTTGGTTTAAACTAAAGTTCTAACTAAAATAAATAGGGGAAATTGTTTTCATCAGGTTAGTTACCGAGTTGTACGAGGTTTGTCAAGGTCTCCGACTTGCCAACGTAGTCTCTAAGAGATGTTGAGGATGGTGGGATGGTGGGAAAAGGAATAGTAACAGCTTCTTCATCACTGATCTCCTCCAAAGCTGAAGGTTCATTAAAAGCATCCAGATCTACAGAAAAAAAAATAGGTATTGAAAAAATTTAGTGCCAGGAGGATAAACAAGTTTCCAGTATTTTCAATTCAGTTTGAAACATAGATTAGCCTTATCAAATACCTACCTAAGGAATTCATATTTTCAGGAATAGACAAAGCAGTTGTGTTTGGCATCTGGGGAAGGTTAGCACCGTCAGTACTTCTTACTGTGTCGTCTGCATTTTTATTTTCCTTAGCTTCTGTTGTCAGATATTTTACTGTCAAGTTGTTGTAGTAGCACATATGTTGTTTCAACCTCTGTCTTGTTTGAGTTGATGTGAAGCTCCCATTAGTGAACAACCCATTACTGAGCGATTTCGAGTTGGCTGTCCAAATACGCCAGTGATGAGACTGAATGTAATGCAGTCGAGTGCTAGTCTTTGAGCCAAGGAAACCTCTGCATCGTAGACACAGCTGTGCACAGGTAGAAGACATGGCCATTCTGAAAGACAAACATATGACATATTTGAGAAGCATGGAATTTATTATTAGAAAAACTCTTAATAAATTGATTAATGTTTAGACTCCTCTGTCTGAACAAACATTTGAATGTCCAAACCAATAGAGGCTCAAAAAGCCACAACATACCATCACATAACTGTAAAATAAATGCTCATTTTAATGTATGCCCTACAGGCGTCCCTGAGCTAAACACATTCATACCACACAATAGTTGCTGATTTTATATATAATCAAACCGGTAAATAAAATGCAAACATTTCACATTTTCATCCACTACCTTTGCGATATATGTAATGGGGCACGGGTTTGTTAAATCATACGAAGTTCATGCTAAGCTACAGACAGGCTGTCTACCCGTCGAGGCTAGCTCGTCAATGCTAGCACCACAGCAACTTTCTTTAGTCGAGTACATAGTCAACAATGATACGAAGTTTTAGGTAATTTACTGTTTCTTACTTAAAAACATCGACTCTTGCTCTAAGGCGTTTAACGAGAAATATCCCCCACTTCTTTCACGTGGTCAGCAATAGAAAGCTTTGCGCATGCGCAAAATTGTGGAACGTACCACTACAATGTAAAAATGGTTACCAAATCCACGTAACTTTTAATAAAAACCAGTGTTAAATAATATTTATAAATAAAATTTAATTATGCAGGTTGCTGTTTTGTTTTAGGATCACCTATATTAGTCATGTCAACGCTGCAACACACCTAAAAATGCAGTGGTTCAGTTCATTTTAGGCGTCAAGGCCCATACTTCATGCTGCCAGTTGATGGCGGTAATGCGCAGTTTGCTTGTTTGCCTACTGTTAATAAAACCCGACGAAGAATTAATTTTTTTGTGTGTGTGTTGTTGTTTTGGTAGTTGTTACATTTCTTTACTTCTTTTGTTTCCCCCGTTAAAATTCCTTTAATATAATTCATATAGCGGTTTAAAGCATAGGTATGGCAACCACCGTGGGCAAAAGTTTACCGAGAAGCAATGAAGCTAACTACAAACTGCATTTCCGAATGATGAACGAGCAACAAGTGGAGGAAATCACTCTTGACTTTTTCTACAAACCACACACCATCACCCTGCTGACAGTTACTGTGCTCAGCCTGATGTACTTTGCGTTCACCAGGTAAACCACAAAACGTATCATTATTGTTATTAAATTAGCTTTGCTAACACTTGTAATGGCATTCTGAACAGGGATGATGAAAACTGTGATAACAACCTCCGTGTTGGTGTGTTGGTGGTTGTTTCCTTCTTCCTGGTCATCAGTGTCCTGACTTTTCCTAATGGTAAGCTGTCACTTGCTCACAATGGCTGCTTTATTTTATTTATTTATTACTTATTTATTTCGAACAGACAATAAAAAGTAAAAACATAAAAATATCAGACAAAAAAAAAAAGACACGGAAAAACATTGTCATCCCTTATGTTGCTGGAGTATCTGAGAAACTCCGAAGGATTTTCTCCAAACACAACAACTCAGTACATTTCAAACCCAACAGGACCCTCAGACAGAGGCTGGTCCACCCTAAGGACAAAACACCCATACACAAACGGAGTGGTGTAGTGTATGCGGTCCAGTGCAGCGAGGACTGTCCAGACCTCTACATTGGAGAAACTAAACAGCCTCTTCACAGACACATGGCTCAACACAGGAGAGCCACCTCCTCTGGACAAGACTCAGCTTTTCACCTACACCTCAGGGATAAGGGACACTCTTTTGAGGACCAGAATGTCCGCATTTTGGACCGAGAAGACGGATGGTTTGAGAGGGGGTTGAAGGAGGCTGTTTATGTAAAAAGAGAGAAACCATCTTTAAACAGAGGAGGAGGTCTCAAGATTTCAGCTTTCAAAAACGTACAATGCAGCTTTAGGACTGATACTCAGCCAGTTTCACACCTGTCAGGAATTCCAACCATGTGACCAGAGTGGCCCCTCGGTGGGTGCGACTAGGCCTGTCGCAATAAGCAATAAATCAATTAATTGCATGATAATTGAAAATTATCGACCTCGTTTTCATGAATCGGCTTTATCGTTTCTTCGTGTCTCTCTCTTTCTACTGAAGACACTGGATAACAACTCCGGTGCGCTTCACTGACCCCTCCCTTTCTCCTTAAAATCAGTTTTAACCGTCGAAAATCGTGTTTTTGGATCGTTAAAAGCAGCTAAGCTGAGAAGCTAAGCTACAAGCTAAGCTAACAGGCTGACCTCGGGGAAAAAAATCTCCGTCTTGTTGAAGCTCCAAATTCATGGTTGAAACCCGTGCCTTTGTCTAAAAAGTTGTTTTTCTCTGCAAAAAGAACTGAGAGCTGAGAACTTTTTACTGATTTTTTTATTAAAAGCTTTGTGTGAAAAATGCTATGCTAAAGAGCTCAAACCACACCGAGCATCTGACATTTTCAGAACCGAAAAAAGGAACGAGAGACAGCCCATGTCACGTCAAGGGGCCTCCTTCCCATTTTTCTTAAAGAGACACGCTGCTCGCTCCCTCACTATCCATCCTTCAGTTCAAACAGTCTTATACTCTCATCTGGTGGTCAAAAAAGGTACTACACTCAAAACAAATTAACCAACATTTCTTCTTAAATTTGGCAATAATTACTAATTGTCAAATTTCAAACAATATTATCGTTTATCACAATAATTTCTGAGACAATTAATCGCCCATCAAAATTTGTTATCGTGCCAGGCCTAGGTGGGACTAACAATAGCAAAGTTCATCATTTTAAATATTAAAGCTAAAAAACCTTTTTTTTAATTTAGAATTGCCATTGAGTTATTTATGTATGTATTTATTTATATTGAAAATGAACACCATGAAGTGACCAATGTTTTTGTTGTCAGGACCCTTCACGAGGCCACATCCTGCAATATGGCGAATGGTGTTTGGTGGGTGTTCACAGTAATCTAAATATTTGATTTAAATACAGATACCATTTGACTGAGTCATCTCTCACATTGTCTTGTCTTTGGTAGGTCTCAGTGTGCTCTACTTTCTTTTCCTGGTCTTCTTCCTCTTCCTTAACTGGGACCAAGTAACGACACTCATGTACTGGCTGGACCCAAATCTGCGCTATGCTAAAAGAGAAGTCGATGTCATGGTAAGGATGTTTTTAAACTATGAGCTTTTTGCACATATAAACAATAATTTAAGTAAACTGATATTTCTATCGGATAAATCAAGTTTATCCTTTTCCTAGACTTTTTGTTTGTATGAATGAAAGTATACTGTGTCTGTTCTAAATAAACTTACAGGACTAATATGCACTAAAATGGCCAAAAATGCAAATTAATCCCAATTAAGTATTCATCGGTGCTTTTGTTTTGTTTGTCATTTTGTTTTATTTCAGTTCTAACATGAATACCTGGAGTCAATGATTGTCACCTTTGTTTTTCTTCCTTAAGGAATATGCCGTAAACTGCACTGTGATAACGTGGGAGCGCATCTTGAGCCATTTCGACATCTTTGCCTTTGGTCACTTTGCAGGGTGGACCATGAAGGCACTGCTGATCCGCAGCTATGGCTTGTGCTGGACCATTAGCATCACCTGGGAGCTCACTGAGGTAAGCATATGGCCGAGGTAATGATACTCGGTTTTGATGTGCCTGTGTTAAAACGTGTTTTTTTTTCAGGGCGTAATAAATATTAACTTTATGTCTCAATACTTTGCTTTAAATCATTCTGTGCAGACAACGAGAATCATTTCAGGAGTTGTCTTCTTGCTTACCGCCGTTGTTTGTTTGCAGGGTTATATAACTGTTTTGTATTCTGGACATCATTTCAAATTTTTAATTTATCTTTTTTTCTCTCTGTCCTGCCAACTCTTTGTTTATCCGCAGCTGTTCTTCATGCACCTTCTGCCAAACTTTGCAGAGTGTTGGTGGGACCAGGTGATACTGGACATCCTTCTGTGCAACGGAGGAGGAATCTGGCTGGGTATGACACTCTGCCGTTTTCTGGAGATGAGGACCTACCGCTGGGCCAGCATCAAGTCGGTGTTTCATTTAGTCCTTATTTTTACATTATTTTTAAATAAGTTTGTGCTATTGTAACCTTTTGCTTAAGGCTAGGGGCCTTAGGTGGGAACGTTATGGACCAGTATCTAGGTTCAAAGGGAGATATGGGCGGAGCTTATTTGTTAACCAGGAAGTATAGAAAAAGAGAGGCTTAATGCGTCCTCTTATCAAAATAAAAGGTTTCAAAGTAAAATACATTTATTAATTAAAATAAATATAGAGAGAAGTAGAGCTGTTTTCTCTACTGAGTTGCACTATTTTCTACAATAATTTCAACCATCTGTGTGTAAGTTTTGGTCGTATGAGTATGTGAGCCTTTTCTTTTCTCCTGTGGTGTGACGATTTTCTGTTTGCAGCTGATGGTTCCCAGTAGCGTTTGCACTGCAGTTAAATATTTATATAAATTTATGGTCATCAGCTCTATGGTTGTCAACGAGCTGCTTGTGTTTTTAGTTTAACATAAATACATTACATTGCAACATTTTAGTACTCCATCATCCCTTAATCATAATTTAGTACAACAAAAAGCAGGATTGGAGTTGTCCGAGTGTATATCCAGCTTTATGTTGATACTTGTTTCACATTCAACACCCTTTAATGTCCTGTCTTTGCACTGATAGCAAATATTTAACCCTGCTCTCAGCGTTAAACTAATAATCTTTGAGCTTTTAACACTGTTGCTGTTCACAAAAATGTTATAATTATCATTATAGGTCATGATGTTTCCATCCATCCGTCCATTATCTATTACCTGCTTCTTCCTTTTTCAAGTCGTGGGATATTGACCTTTCAATAATTTAGTTTCTTTATATTTATTTTCAAAATCTGTTGTAAAATCCAGTAATGTTTGAGTTTTGATTATCCTAAAAAATTTAAACAATTCACTACATTTTTAGCTCCACCGAAGTTTCTTTTCTGAAGACAATTACCAACAAAAATAAAACATGGTCTAAACTGTGTATTTGTCACACATGACAGAGTGCCATTGTTTTCCTTTCGTGGACATTAAATAATATTAAAATTAATTTTTATTTTGTTTCATTTTTGTGATTTTTCAATAAAAGTTGGCATGTTTTTTTTTTTTTTCTTTTTAAAGTTGATCCTAATTTTCATTCTTGTCTCTTATCTTAAGTCTTCATTTACATTTTTTAAATTTATTTATTTGCTTGTTTGTTTGTTTTTGAACTGAAAGTCACAAGTCAAATGACCATCTTAAATAGGAACTTTTTTGTAGCAGTGCAGTGTTATTATCGTCTTAACATTTAATTCAAGAGGCCAAATGTGTTTTTGACATATTGCTAATATTTTCTGTCTGTTCAGGGAAATCCACACAACCTCAGGAAAACTAAAGCGAGCCGTGCTCCAGTTCACTCCAGCCAGCTGGACCTACGTGCGCTGGTTTGACCCAAAGTCCTCCTTCCAGAGGCTGGCAGGGATCTACGTCTTTATGATCTTATGGCAGGTTGTGCACGCTTTTTCTCTTTACATTTGAACCGCTTTTATGAGTGTTGGGAGTTAATGCTACTGAGGCTACATCTTATGAGTGTAATCGGTGTTATTTCTGGCTTTAGTTCTAAAATGCATGATTTAAAAGTAAGGATTTGGGAAATAAACTAGGGATGCACAATATTGGATTATGGCCGATATCCGATATGCCAATATATGTTAAAACTTATTTGGCCAATAACCAATACCAATACCGATTTTTTATTTTTTTTCCTAGACCTACTAACAGAGACTACATAGTTTTCTCTGCTGTGGAATTAAAATACTACATTATTCTGCATGGTCTTTGTCAGTTTGGCCTGCTACTAGATGCAGATTAGGTTCAAAGTGCTGTAGGACTTGGTTTACGCTCCTCCTCGCAGGGCTGACGCTGAGCAGTCATTGCAAATAGCAGTTCTTCTATCAGTTTCTGACACTTTAAAAAACTTAGATACCGCGGACATTTTCACTTGTTCCTCTCTCGCCGTGATCAGATCAGGTAGGTGCGCGTGACGTCATAACATCGTGCTGACGCTGCAGGCTCCTTGTCACTGGGTTGTCATACAGCGCCTTTTATATTGGTGATTATGTTGATGGAATGACCAATGTCTGATATTTAAATTTATCGCTAGTATTGGCCGAATACGATACTATATCGATAATATCGTGTATCCCTAAAATAAACACATTCATGAGATGTTTGAATTCTCATCACCAGTTCTTGTTTTCTATTTGCAGCTGACTGAGTTGAACACGTTCTTCCTCAAGCACATCTTCATCTTCCAGGCTTCTCACCCTCTCAGCTGGTGTCGTATTCTCCTGGTGGGAATCATCACCGCACCCACTGTGAGGTGTGTTCAAATCTTAAAATACTGGAGCGGCTTTACAACCAGAACTGATTTCTAATAAATACACATTCAGGTTTGGAGTTAATACAAAACAAAAGTACTTCATGTTATTTTAGATGCTTTCCTCAGAGCTTATTCTTGGCTGTGTTAAAAATGTTCAGAGTTTTTTTTTTTAATCTTTGGTTTGAGGTTATCTCTAGTGATGTACTAAATTCATAAAAGATTATAAGAAATTAAAAAGTATTGTAACATGTTTCAATGAAGAACACAAGAAAGAACGTGTTTGCCTGTTTTTGATTAAAATTCACTTTGGTCTGGAAGTACAATCTTTGTTAATGTAAACATGTAATCTAAACTACAACAGCTTTACATAACCAGGAGAAAGTAGTTCATGAAACCACTTCCTTATTGAAACCTTTATGGCATTGTTCTGCTTTTTCATTAACTCTCCAACATGGATATTCATACTATCAGCACTTTATTCTTGACCAAAAAATCTTTTAATATCTACAGACAGTATTATGTGTACCTGACGGACACTCAGTGTAAACGAGTTGGCACACAGTGTTGGGTGTTTGGGTGAGTATTTATTTATTGTCCTTTTGTCAGCTCTTGGTTTTATTTCTTCTGCAACTTTTTCTTCAGCATATTGGTATAACTTGTGAAGAGCTCAATTTGTCTCCTAGGAGGTGCATTTGTAAAGAACAATACAACAATTTGTTATTCAAATTAGATCATATCTGTGAATCAGCTAGCTGCTTAATTTTAGTTGTGCTCTGGTTATGAACATGAAACTGAACATTTTTCACACTCTGGCTTTTTTATAGTTTTAATCTTGTTTGAATTTAACACTCAGACACAAAAAGGAACATTTTTTTTTAATCCAAACTGAAGTCTTCTTTAGTCTTCATTTCTTGTGTAACCTTAGATTTTTTTTTTTTTAGATGAATGCACTGCAGGGTGTTTTCTAGTCAAATTAAAATTCACATTTTGTTGTCGCTGACCGACACCGAGCTGTCGATGTCCGCAGTTTGCAGCAGTTGCTATGGCAACGGGAGGATCACTCTTTGTCTATATATACTGCTCTTTGTATAGTCTTCCAGTGGGACAGTGATATCAATCATGCTTCTGGATTCAGAAGCTGTGCTGCACTGAAATGTGTTACTAAGAGAGGGAGCAATAGTTTCACCCCTCAGCTTAAAGTTTTAAATCATGTATACTGCCGTAATTGTCTAATCGTATGTTTATGTTTTCGATTAAGGGCTATTGCTTTCCTCGAGGCTCTGGCTTGTGTGAAATTTGGTCTGGACGTCTTTTCTAAGACTCAAATTCGCCATGTTCTGCTGTGGTTGATCTGTCTGGTAAGAACAAAAACACAACGTGTGTGATTAAAAACAAAGACACTGTTTCTGGGGAGCACACTGCAGTCTCAGCAGGAACAATGGGATGTTTCGGGGTCAATACTTCATTTGAGGGTTTGGGTTGAAATTTAAAGTGTTTGAAACTGATTTATGATAATTTTGTTTATGTGCAAGCACGTTTTTATTTCCCCCGAAGACTTCCGATTGCAGGCTCCCCTTCTCTAACCTCTGCACCACCACACCCCTGTGTTCAAATGCACAATATGAACCTATATTTGCTGTGTAATTATAATAACTTGCTAAAAATGACAATAATTATGTCACCACTTTTAGCTTTTGTTGCCTGTTGGTTCTGAAGGTTATACAGGGCTTTCAGGTTCTGCATTTCCATATCTGATTTTTTTTTTTTTTCTTTTCATTATTATCTGAGAATTTGTTTTACGGTAATTAATGTTTTGCCATTTTTCACAGGCACTCATCACACTCTTATGCTTATATGGCATGGTGTGGTATGAACACCATAAAATGAAGGTAAGAATCTGAGGGGGAGATCTTGTCTGATGACATTAGGAATAATATACAACCCGTTTCAAGAGTAATTTTACTACTTTTTATTGTTTTAAAATCTAGATTGCTAATTTACTTTAGGACAATTACTTTACATGTAACAAGAATAAAAAGCAGATTTGATCAAATGGATTGCTTATTGTGTGCCCTTGTAAGTATGCTACTGACAGTAACAATACATACGTTTTGTAACAAAGTTATACATAAAATTTGTCAAATCGAGCTAATTTACTGTAAATGTTAATTATTTTTTAACCTGCAACTAATTTGAAAATGACAAGTAGTGGACGAAGAAGCAACTCTTTTCCTTCATGCAACATCACGGGTTATAATTGCGATTTTATATTTGCAAATGCCATTTTGTAACTGAGTTTTGTTTCTGTTCCCAGAATATTGTTCTGCAAAGCGGCGACCCTGATGATCGCCGTGTTGTTGACTCACTTGCTTCGGCTCAGACAGATTCACATGGAAGTTTGCGAAACACAAAACGAAGAAAAACCTCAGCTAGGAACAGATTTGTAAACAGCCATGGAAGAAAGAGACAATGAGTAGATGTGATGATGAAGTGTTTAGCAAAATACTTTAATACGGGTCAAATAATGTATATTTAAAACTGTGCCATTGATTTACTAACCAAAAAAAAACTTTTATCAACGTTTGCAAAAAAAAAAAACTACGACTAAAACTTGACAAAGCTGTTGGGATTTAAAAAAAAAAGAACAAAACCATTGAATATTAAAAGTTAAAACCGGTTTTATCGGACTGTTATTCTGTGCATAAAACTTGGTCTATTTTAGAGAAAATGTAAAGTTTGGATTATTTCAGTGATTGTTTAATATGAATCTAGATTTAGCACTCAAATTTAAAGTCATGTTTATTTTTTATTTTACTATATGTCTTTAAAATTATTCAAAAGTATCATATTTGCAAAAACTGATGTGTTTACTTGTCCAGAAGATGGTAAAGAACGTGTGAAAATCTTTAATTTGAATAATATATGCACATTTGAGGATCTAAAGTTTTAGCTACATTTTATTCAGTCTTTTTATAGGTCACATATTAAAAAAAACTTGTGTAGGGATTTTTTTTTTTTTATTTGCTGATTTGTACTGTCATTGAAAAGAATTGTGTGTGCAGGACTACTGTGAATTTCGATTCGGTAACACTGTGAGGACTTTCTGTAGCAAAGGATAATCACTTAGAACAAAAAAGAAGAAATATTTTAAGAGCAGAAGTTTACATTTTTCTTATGAGACAAAGTTACTAACGTTTTTGTATATAACTCAACTCGAGATTGATCTACCTACCGGTACTTACAGTAATAAAAACTTTAATATTTTAGGTGTGCTATTTAGTATTTTGCATTAATTATGTTTTGTTTTAGCAGTAATAGTCATGACTTATTGCAGATTTTTAAATACTTAATCTGCTTTAACGAACAAAATGTATTTATTGTGAATCTCATCCACTATGTGGGATTACTAATCATGATTTATGAATGGGTTTTGGTTGTTTTCGTACACACAAATGAAATAAACTTTTTTTAATTAACTGTTTTTAAAATGTGTAATTGTTATTTATAATGTTTTTGCAGCAATACATTTAAAATTATTGTACAGTCTTTAGTTATGCATCACTCACCAGATATGACTGATATAATGTCTAGAAATATAAACCTTTGTTTTGAAATGCACCAGACAACATTTAATAATGCAAACTGCATTGCATCACTACAATTTAATGCCATGAGTGCACACAAAAATGCATAAATGACTAATTATAAAGTTCAGAAAACAACTACAATGACCTGCAAGTTTCAGTAATTTTCATGACACACGGATATTAAACTTTACAAAAGCTTTAAACACAGGATTCAAGTAAAATGTAGATACTATAATATTTAGGTTATTTATTCTTCAGATCAAAAACAATATGTAAGACGTCATATTCTTAGTTTAAAATATGTAACATTCGTTTAATAAGAGGTAACTACATTAAAAAAATAAATGGTACATTTCATAATAAATACAAAGAAAAGCCATCTATGTATGCTAAAAGATTTGTCGACGCCTCCTTCTTTGTTAAGTTGTCTCACTACATTTCCCACAATTCATTTGAAAGTGGCCGCTGTGCAGGATGACAGCTATCCGGCGCCGAAATATCGATAGACGTTCAGACGAAAAGAGCCATGGCGGCCGCGGGTGGAGGGAAAATTAGAAGCAGGAGATATCATATTGCTTCTAAACCTTACGCCAAGAGTAAACAGGTAAATAAATTGAAAGTCGTCAAGCTAACAGCCCGAGTCGAGCACATTGCAATAATCTTGTTGCCATCATTCTATAGTTTTTTTGTTGTTGTTTTGTTTAAGACATTTTTTGGCCTACTGTTTAACGCTCGTGGCCTCCACGCGCTGCTAGCATGTTCATGAAACGCTAGCGAATTGGCTTAAGGTTAGCGAAATTACGGACCTGACAGGTCAAATCATAAAAAGTGTTGTTTATACAACGTATTTAGTCCCTGTCTCAGTACAGCTGCACGCACGGCGAACTGAAATGGCCAGCCGTGGCTCAGTTTAGAAGTTCAGAGTCGATAGCCGAGCTAACGGGAAGCAAGGAAGTAGATTTTCTCCAGCTAACTGGAGCTAACAAACTAGCATCGGCTAGCATTGTTGTCTTTGCTGTTTTTCAGCGAAGCATTTTCAAGTGACACAATCGTGCAACGTTTATAACATCTGCATATATCCAAGCGATTATTTTCCCACAGATGTACTTTTTAGAGTCCACTGGAAAATATATATTAAGGTTGTTTGTTAGCCAAATCGCAGCTAGTTTATTTGCGCAGGAGGGCTTCACGTTGATTGGGAATCCACATGGTCCTCTGTGGGATTATCATTTGCCGCCTGGATGTCAGAGTTGTTGGTTTTTAAAGCATTTTTAATGTTAACAGTGGCTTAATACACGTCTGTCATGTCAGCACCCCAAATTTCAACGTGAACCGTAAGTTGAGCAAAAATGTCAAGCACCACCAAGGCATTATCTTAAAGGGATTTTTTTCCTACTATTATCTGAACGTGGTCTTTACGATTAAGTTGATAGTTTGTTAACATCATAACTTGTATGACTAAATCGGTGCCAAAACTCCTACTGTGTAACACCATTCAGAAACAGCAAAAATGTATGATTATTGACAACATCCTTTTAAATGTCCTAAATGTGGAAAATCATCTTATTACAAAAGTAACTGAAGATTTTTACACTGTTTTATTGAAGTCCAACAACAAGTGTCCGTTTAATATGACTTTTGTAACTTAGCAGCGTGCACAAAGACTTATTTCTTATTTAACAGCACATATTGACCGAATAAAAGTTATTTAGATGCATTCAAACTTGTTTTCAAAATCATAAAGTCTAGTCTTGCAAAACGATAATGAACTAAATATTTTAACTTTTCTAAGTTTGTTTAGTTTGCAGCGTTTAAACCAAAAACGTGCAGCCGTTTAACCATTTCTCAGTTGATTTACATTGTTTTAATACAACTTGTAGCTGTGCAATGCAGAATTAAACAAAAATGGAAATAGTGCTCAAAGTATTCAACTGTTTGCATTTTTGCTTTAAGTCACAAATGTTAAAAGACGTGCAGGGCTACATGCATTTTCTTTTCCCTTCCATCTGTAGCCTTGTTGCTTTGCTGTGTGAACCTGTTGAAGCACATTCAACTTAACGTTAGTTATTTAATAATCTTTTACTTTGTATTTGAAAAATGCTGACAATTATCAGTGATAACTATTAGATTGTTTCACTTTTTAAATAGTTTATAGACTGTTTCAAGTAAGCTTGTCTAAAATATTTACGCGTGGCTTTTTTTTCTTTTCTTCCATACATCACTTCCAAAGCCAAAGCTGATATCCTTTATGGTGCATCACTGTAATATACTAAAGAACAGGAAGGAAATGACTAATTGATCCACCTATTACAAAAAAAAAAAAAAAAACCATCTAATAGAAATCAGCAAATATAGTCACAGTAGCCACCTTAGCAGTACATTGTTCAAACCAACGCTGCCATATTCACTCATTTGATTATTGCTATCTGTATGTAAGTGCTAATGATGTGATGTATGTTGTTAAATAGGTGGAAACATTTTGAATCCAGGTTTCCGAGCTGAGGTTTTTGGAAAAGCCTGGCATCAAAATCACAAACGCACCTTACAGGTGGCTGCAGTTAATAATTTTTCTGTGCTTGTTCAAGTAAATGAACAACAGTAACAATGACAGAAAGCAGGGTGCTATATGTGCTGCCGAGTCTGTCGTGAGTCCCTGTTTAAACTTTCTTGAATCTTTTCAGACTTAAAATTTAAATTAACATAGCAGCAGCAACCTAGCGTTGTAGTAGGTTCGAATTAAAGTATGCGTACTCACCATTTTAAGTGTAACAGTTCTCATCTTGAGATTGAAGTGTCTGCACACATGCATGTTGTTGAAATACAAAATCTCAGCCCGGTTAGTAACCTAGGATCTGGATTAAATGGTTTTTTTTTTGTGTGGTTGCCTAAACAGCAATTGTGTTCACAGCATTACTGTGCAAATACAAAATGTTTTACAATCAACAGAGAAAAATTGCTGGTGGAAAAAGTCATTAAGCTCAACACATTTTGTTCTTGGCTATTTCTGGGCTATTGTTGGTTTCTCCATTTTTTTAATATGATTTTAAGAATGCTATGTTTCACTTTGAGTATTTAACGCTACTCATTATGTTTAAAGCGCAAATACTGGAACTATTTTAGTTATCTGATAAATATGTATTTCCAGATGAAGGCCTAAGACTTGTCTGGCCCACAGGTGTATATCATAGATAAGCAAAAAGAGTTTCATGTGGTACTTAGCTTTTTTAAGCTGCCTTGTAATATAGTCATCTGCATGAAGAGTTTGCACTAACAAGCTACCACTGACCTTTAATTAAGCTTTCCCCTTCTCTGCATACCAGCATGGGCTTGTGATGAGAAACATTCTCATTTTGAAGACATCCAAATAGAGCAGCAGCACAATACTTTAATTTAATTCAATAATTTCTGCTTTAATGACAATATTATGCTACTAGTGCTTAGTGTATATTTAGTTGTTTTTTTTAGTTCATATCTTAGATATTATTGCTGTTTTTCTTTTACATTTTATTGTTAGATGTAACTGGGACCCTATGTACATGATTTAGTTCCACCACATGTGGTGCGAATGACAAATAAAGAACCCTGAATCCTTGAACATCAAATATGACATTTACAGAAGCAGACACAGGGCCTGACCCAGTTTCTTGACGATTTTTACATTTTGTTTTGCACAAGGAAAGCAAGACAACCTAGTGCCTCTTCGCAATTCAGCTGATCAACGTTAAATATTAAGTATCTGTTGTTGATTTGTTTTTCCTTACAAGAAGTATAAACTTTTGAATAATAAAGTCTTTAATTTGAAATCATTTGCAGCTGAAAATTAGAAATAATAAATGCAGGTGTTTTGCTGTTCTTAATGGAAGGTAGATTTGCACGCTTTGTAACATTTTTTCTACATGCTGAATTTTAATCAGTGACAACTGTCTGGTATTTACAATGAAAAGATTAACTTCGTCTCTCTTGTGTATCTGCAGCAGTCGGGCCTCATCAGTCGAGTGACAGACACGGTAAAGAGCATCGTTCCTTCTTGGCTGCAGAAATACTTTAAGAATGAAGATGCTGCTGAAGGAGAAGAGGCAGGGCAAGGGTCAGACCAGAATTGCCTGCCGCCACCACCTCCTCCTCCTAATGGCAATGAAGAGGGACCTCCTCCCCTTGATGGACGAGATTCCCCAGAGCCAAGCACCAGTAACACAGGCAGGGATCTGTTCACTTGTGTATATCTGTATATCTTGCCTGGAATTTGAGTCTAAATTGTTTAGTTTTTTTGTAATGTTGTCAACCATACTCACCTGTAGATGCTGTTTGTTTTTGCAGAACCCTCAACTAGTCGTGCGACCCTGAACTTTCAGGACTATGCGCTTTCTCGCCCTCCACTGAGTCGCTCCCACCTCCACTTTACCTCACTGGATGCCTCCTCCCCAAGCTTGGTAGCCTCAAGCAGCCTCTTCTCCCAGCCCTCCACCTCCTCAGCCCCTGGCCCCTTCACCACAGGCTTTTCTTTGGTCAAAGAAATCAAGGACAACCTCTCCCAGCACGAAGATGATAACGTCTCCACCACGAGTGGGTTCTCCTCTCGTGCATCTGACAAGGGTACGCGTTGAATATTTTGAGCAACAACTAAAATATTTTTGCACGTGAGATGGCCTAGAATGCTTTTCTGTCCACCCATGTTTTTAAAAATGGTCTGAAAGAACTGCAATATGTTTTCTTTTTCAGATGTCCCCACTTTAAAAACTGCATCACTTCCACAGCTTTGGTCCCCAGAGATGGACAAAACAATTTCTGGACCTCAGCCTTCTCAGTCCAGTTTGAAAAAGCCCTCTTTCAACTTGTCAGTCTTTGGAAACTCCTCGAATGTGAGTACCGTAGTTGCCCATGTATCAAGATGCCGAGCTTGTCGTGTTAATAAGAACAAATCTGGCATTTTACAGTTCCCCCAAGACTCTGCTGTTAAATAATGACCGATGTAAAAATATAAACCCTGCTGGGACTGAAACAGAAACTTAAATCATTATAGGGTGTAGTTACACAACATTTGAACATTCAGGGTTTTTATATTTCAGTGCTCTTATGTATTCAATATGACATGAGAAGTCAGAGTCGTAGCAACAGATTCCCTTTTATTGTTCATGTGAATAGTGTGTTGTACATTTACTTATTGCATGGCAAAATAACAGACACAAGCCAGCTCCTAATACTAATGTTCTTTTGTCCATTAATTACCTTCATTACTAACGGAGCAAAGAGAAGTTGATGTTTAAAATGTCAATGTTGAATTTACACATTTCACTGAGCTTAAGGAAAGTGTGGATTTGTTTTAAATTGGGAGGGAAATAAATGTCAGATTAATATGGAGAACCTTGCTTTCATTATTTTCAGTGTTACTAATTTGTTTTATTTTAGTGTTTGGATGTCCTTATTCCACACATAACCTAAAAATCATATGAAAAGTAAATGTTTGTAATATGTGCTTTAGGATATTTCATATAACTCTTTCTTTCAGTCATCATTGAACAGCACAATGCTGAACTCAAGCCAGCTTGGTGATTCACCTTTCTATCCTGGGAAAACCACGTATGGTGGAGCATCTGCAGTCAGGAGCTCCCGCAATCGTCCTGGAACACCTTACCAGGTGATCTCTTTCAGTTTACATAGGAAGCAATGGAAACATTTGAATAAAAAAAAAAAATCTAATAACGATGGCCAAATTTAAGCTGTGTTTATATTTATATGCATCTAGTTTACTAGCTGCTAAGGTTTTGTTTTGTTCCTAACGGTGATACCATATTTTAGTGTTGTTACTTTCATAGTAAGTCTAAATAAACTCATCTGATGTGTAGGCCCCAGTAAGAAGACAGATCAAGGCCAAGCCTGCTGGTGCTCATCCCTGTGGTGTGACCAGTGCCACTGCCAGGCGCATCCTGCAGTCCTTAGAGCGCATGTCAAGCCCACTGGCTGTGAGTACACAGATACTTAAGCATAATTCTAGTGCAATAATTCTAGTGCAATATATTTGACTAATCTGTTTGTTTTGTGCCGTGTTATTTTTCTAAAACATTAAACATTTTCTTTTGTTCTTGTGAACAGGATGCAAAGAGAATCCCAGCAGCATCTTCACCCATCTTGTCACCTGTAAGTCTTCTGTTTTTTTAATCATCTGTTTATCACGACATATTGTACAAATGCAGGATGTAATAATTATCACACCTAATATCTAGTTGTGCATTTGCAAATATCTCATTTTCATGCTGTTCACAGTCGGTGGATGGCACAAGATTTGATGTTTCGGATCACGTTCCAAAAAAGAAACGGGTGAGCACACATTTCAGATGACTGTATTTAAGTAAGAGGGTAAGAATTGTTTACTTTAGTCGTAGTTTTGTTTGAATTTATTATGTTTTCGTATAGTTTGTTGTATTCAGCTTTACAACTTGATCAGTAACTGTTGCCAGATGTGTTTAAAGATGTGAACAGCTGTGTGGTTGTTCATCCCTGAAACACTTGTTTTATTTTGCCTTGGTCATTTCCTGTCCTGCTGTCTGTTGGCATCCTTGTCATCCATAAACAGACTTCTGCCCAGCTGTCTGTACTTTATATTTGTTCTCGTTCACAAACACACATTTAGTAGTAAAACCGAAGCACTGCCAAATGTATTTGGCTCATGGAAGTGTTTTTTTAGTTCGTTGTAAATCTGGCCAGCTGTTAAACTGTTCTGCATTTCTATCTGTGACAGCTGCGTTGTAAAACATAAAGACAAAGCTTTATTGATTAACAGTCATTCTTTAAGTATAAGGTTTTAGTTTTACATTGCAAGAGCTACTGTTTCTAGATTCGAACCCTGTCTCTAAAAGAGATGTGTTGAGCAAATATGCAAACCATATATGCTAAGTTTAGGGGAGTAGCCTAGATAAAACGCACTAAGAAATATCAAAAACTTGAAAATGTGTTTTATTTTCATTTGTAGGCACATTGGTACATCCCACATAACACAGCGAGATTGATGCTCCTTCAGTTTGCTTTTTTGTGATATTTCTTTAATCTCTGTTTAATTTACTGTTTCTTTATATATATATTCAGATGGACTCAAATCTCCCACCTGTGCAGAAACTTGTGATTCCAGCAGCAGCTTCTGTTCCAGGAAGTCGTGCTGTGTCTTTTAGGCCGACTTTGACTCCTGGAGGACTCGGCCGAAGTCTGGACAGGACCACGAGGGAGAAGACAGTCAGTACTTCACAGCTTTTGTTTTATACAGCATCATGTGTATTTATATTTAATGCAGCAGTGCTGCTCTATTTTGGAAAGACGTGCAATTGCAATATTGTAGTATATTACTATGGTACGGTGACTCTAGAGCTGCCTCCTCTCCGTGAGAAGGTCACTGGATGGATCATGGCCATGGACCTTTCTGGGCGGAGTTTGCATGCTCTCTTGGTGCATGTGGGGTTTTCTCCAGTTTCCTCCCACAAAAAACATGCATGTTAGGCTGACTGGTAACTCTAAATTGTCCCTGGGTGTGAAAGAGAGTACCAATGGTTGTTTGTCTCTAGGTGTCCCTGTAATGAACTTTCCACGACTGCAGACAGACTGTCGGTCAGTCGGACGAACGGTCTGTTGGATGAACAGACAGTCAGTCAGATGAACGGAATGTCGGGTGGACGGTCGTACAGACAGTTGGATGTACAAATGGACGGGCGGATGGTCAGACGGATAGACATTCAGGTGGACGTTTGGATGTACAGTCAGTCAGATGTACGTATGGACAGTCGGATGGACAGATGTTCAGACGGAAGTTCGGACAAACAGTCGATCAGTCAGATGTACGGACGGATGTTTAGACCGAATATCAGTTGGTCGGATGGACGGTTTAATGACCGTTTCCTCTATGTGCCATCTGGGAGCATTCAGTAGAATGGTGGTCGTTCTGATTGTCTATGGTCTGTCGGACGGACGGTCAATATAAAATAATCCATAATGGCATGTCTGCTGTCATTTTGTTGACTACTTTGTCTGTGTTCCGTCTGGGGGCATTCAGTAGAGTGGTGGTCATGTTGATTGCCGTCGGTCGGATGGACGGTTGGTCCTATCATCCGTTCGTCCATACATCTGATGGTCGATCGAAGAAAGACAAAAAACGGGCAGCACATCTTAGAAGCTGAAGCTTCCTGTACACATCTGTCTATCTTTAGGACGGCTGTACAGAAAGTAATTTTGTTATACTTCACTGTGCAAGGATAATGAAAGCATTCTGATTGTGATATAAGGACGACTTGTCGGATGGATGATTGGTCGGTCAGATGGATGATTGGTCGGTCGGATGGATGATTGGTCGGTCGGACGGATGATTGGTCGGTCAGATGAATCGTCGGTCGGTTGGTCAGACAGTCTCGGTCGGACACACTTGTTTGTTGGGACGGAGACTCGTCCTAAGCTGCGCAGCGCTCTGTTTAAACCAACAGGTAGAGGGGGGTTGGGGGACACAGAGACGGCTGAGTGCTGTTTGCACTGACGGTTATAGAGCAGGGTGTGTGAGAGGAGAGACAGACGCATCTCAGCCGCGCGCTGTCTGAACCTACAGGTTGTGTTTGTTTTTTTTTGGGGGGGGGGGGGGGGCGTCGGCGGGTGGAGAGACAGATGCACATCTGAGCCGTGCACTGTTTGTATCGACAGTTTTCGAGTGGCGGGGGTGCGTTCAGCATGAAGGTTCAGCATGAAGGAAGAGGCTGCCTTTAGCTTTTTAGCTAGTGCACCTGCATTGCGAGCCGCTAGTTTAGCGTTACGTCAGTGCCGACGGGGTGGGGTTCGGTAGACGGGGCGCTTGGTTCTGTTGACGGGGCGGGGCGCCCTGCTTGTATAATGGTAGGGGAAACACTGCGCACGGTCGCTCGGTCAGACAGATGGTCGGTATGATGAATTTTTGGTTGAATGGACTGTCGGTCAGACAGATTTTCAAATCCGTTGGTCGGATGGTCCGTCGGACCGGTCAGACGGATTTTCGGTCGGACAGGCTCGGTCTGTCGGACGGACTTGGTCTGTTGGACGGACGCACTTGGTGTGTCGGACGGACTTGGTCTGTCGGACGGACGGACGGTCGGTCAGTATAAAATAAACCACTGTGGCATGTCTGCTGTCATTTTAATGACTGCTTTCTCTGTGCAGTCTGGGGACATTCAGTAGAGTGGTGGTCATTCTGAGTGCCAAATTTATACTTGTTGCACACTTTCGTGTTTTATTGTAATCTTTTACAATATTTATGTTGCTCATACTAATTTTCTGATGTTGATGATTTTTTTTTAATATTATATTTGAAACATATTACGACCTTTTTATTGTTTTAATATCCTCACAGCCATCAAGACAATCACCACAGTTACCTGAAGCAACCCCAGGTCCATCTCAAAGGTAAAGTTCGTCTGTAAAGTTTATTTTGACTCTGCTGTGTTTTTGTTACATTTTGCTAATAAAACATTTTCTGACTGTTGTTCAGCACAAGGAGTTACAGTGACCCCACCTATCCTCTGTCCAGCACCCCTGCACCCAGCAGCATGAGCTCTGCAGGGGGCAAAATGAAAAGAGACAGGACTACAACACGACCTTGCTCTAAACGCCCTGAAAATGATGAGGTTTGATCTTTTAATAACTTAATTTATATCAATAGGTAATAATAGTATTTTAATACAAAACATGCTTGTGTTTTTAACTCAAGGTGGTCGAGGTTCCCGTCCTTCCAAGCATTTCACTCCCCATCAGCACTTCATCCTTACCCACATTCAGCTTCTCTTTGTTGCCACCTTCCACCTCCTCCACCTCTGTTAACTCCGCCCCCTCCATCCCAGCTGTTACTCCAACTAAGGAAACTGTCACAAATAAGGTTTGTCTTAAAGCTACATTTAGCTTCTTTATTAATACTTAAGTGAGATTTTATAAAATATTAAGATTTTGCTCTTTTTCCCCTCCCACTACACAAGGTTTCACCAAAGGCTTCGACACCACCCTGTGTACCTTTTACATTTTCCTCCCCGATTGTCAAAGCCACTGCTGCCAGCCCACCGTCTTATTCCCCTTCTGTCAGTATTTATTGTTTATGAATTTATTTTTACAAATGTATTTTATTGCAATGAGAGAAATAATGTTTTTTTTCCCCGTTTCTACGCAGACTGGATTTACTTTCAGTGCACCTGTAGCAAAGTTGGCTCCTTCCATGTCCAATGGAAAGCTCACCGCCCCCACAGCAGCAGGTGAGAGGGTTTTCTTCACCGTCACTAGGTTTCTGCTGGCTTGTGTTCTTTGAGAAAATCACATTTGTTATTTTATGTTTTTACAGTGAAGCCTGTTACAAGCAAGAGCACAGAAGAATTTGAAGGACCTTTTAAACCAGCTAAGACTTTGAAGCAGGGCAGTGTGCTGGATCTGCTCAAATCACCTGGTAGGTTGTTTTTTTTTTTGTGTAGATGCATTTTTTTTGTTTGTTTGTTTGTTTGTTTTAATTGTTTGTTTCTCTCCAGGTTTTGCTTCTTCTGTTGCTCAGACCTCCTCAGGCACCAGCGTTGCTCCGCAGCAAAAATCAACACAGTCCACAGCCCCCCTCTTTACAGGCACAAGCTCTTCCTCCTCCCTCCCTTCATCAGCAGGGTTCGGTGGTTTGTTTAAAGCCCCTGCAGGATGGAGCTGTGACGTTTGCTTAGTTCAGAACAAGCAGTCAGACACAAAGTGTGTTTGTTGTATGGCTCCAAAGCCTAGTTCCTCACCTAAATCTACAGGAAGTAAACCGTTGCCTACCACCTCTGTGGGGGTGGAGAGCAGCACAAGCACCACCACCACCACCTCTGTACCTGCAACTGGTTTTGGTCCAATATTTTCTAAACCCACAGGAACCTGGGACTGTGACACGTGTCTGGTTTCGAACAAGCCCGATGCCGTAAAGTGTGTGGCCTGTGAAACAGCTAAACCAGGGACGGGGCTCAAACCCTCGCTTACATTTCCCTCTGCCTTCTCAACTGTTAAGACTGCATCTGCACCCACAAACCCTGTTTCCACAGGCATCAGTGGGTTTGGAGATAAATTCAAAAAACCTGAGGGTGCATGGGAATGTGAAACATGCTTGGTAGAAAACAAGGCAGAGGACACTAAATGTGTGGCCTGCACAGCTGCTAAACCAGGTAATGAGACCATGACTTCATTCATATGTACTTCTCTAGATCATGTCCTCTGGTTGTAACGTATCTTAAAAGAAAACGGGTATTTTGTGTAATCACCATCTTTTTCGTTCTTAACTACCAAAAAGGAGCTTCCACGACCAGCAGTGCCCAAGTGTTCGGACTGGGAGACAAGTTCAAGAAACCTGAAGGCTCCTGGGAGTGTGACGTCTGTCTGGTCCAGAATAAGGCTGCTGATGCTCAGTGTGTTGCCTGTCAGGCAGCAAAACCTGGAGCGAAAGTTGAGCCCAAAGGTAACAAGTGGCAGACTGATCTTAGGAATACAGTAGAACCTGTAAATATAAATTGAGTCTGTATCAACAATTGATTTGTATGTAGAAAATTCTAATTTTGAACAAGAGGAAAAAGTTCATGCTTTGAACAGTCTCCTTTAAATAGATCCTCTCAGAAGTCATGGCAGATTAAGTTTGCACTGGGTCCAGATGCAGGACTGGTAGAACTCTGCAGTCTTTCTTGTTAAGTTAAGGCTGAACAAGAAATCAATTAATTCTGCTTCTCTCCACCCTTCAAGATATTTTCAAAGTGACTCAAAATTGTCACTGTACAGATTTATAATGCATGAGGCAACAGTTTTGTTCAGGTGATGTGCCCCTGAAGCTTTGCACTTTTCCTCACACTACACACATCCCTTTGATCAAGCTCAAACTGAGTGATAACACGTCCACAAGCTGCAAAGGGCAGGTGGACAACTGTAGCAAGCAAATTTGGGAATACAGACATAAATTAGTAATTTGGAAAACTCAACATTTATATCAAGAACAACTCATTTTAGAATTGTTTGGAATTAGAAGTTCTACTGTGCACATTATAATATCATGTTAGTCTTGCATAATCTGTCAGGTTTATTACCGTCATTTCTGGACGATAAGGCGCACTAAGCGAAACAAAACAGTCGGATAAGTCTAACTTTATTTCAACTTGTTCACAATAACCACGTAAAATCGATTCGAGGTTGGTAAGCACAACCAGAATTAATACATAAGGCTCACTGTCGATTTTTGGTAAATTTAAAGGGATTTAAAATGTGCCTTATAGTCCAAACAATACAGTAGTTAAACCATAGTCGTTTTCTATAGATGTCCTCAAAGATAAGCGCTTGAGTGGCTTCCCCAAAAATAAATGTTTTAATCACATTGACACCATGTTCATTGTGCCTCTATGCCCTTTTGCATTCAAGCTTTTTTCTTAATCCTGCATCTAATTTACTTTTTTTTTTCCACCTGTTTAAATGTTCTCATCTTGTTTCTTTTCAGCTTTTGGTTCTTTTGCCTCCTCTGCTGGTGGGACTACTGGAACATCTACGTTTGGTTCTTCTACCTCTACTTCTGGAGGTTTTAAGTTTGGCACATCGGACAGTACGTCTGAGTCTGGAGGTTTCAAGTTTGGAACTTCAGAGTCATCGTCATCTTCTTCAGGTGGATTTAAATTTGGAGTCCCGTTTGGAAGCTCCTCGTCAGAATCTTCTTCTAAAGACACTTCTGCCTCATCAGGGTTTAAATTTGGCAGCTCCTCGGAAGGCTTTAAATTTGGGGTTGCTTCTAATGATGACAAAAAGTCTGAGCAGCCCGCGGCAGGTTCTGGGTTTAAATTTGGAGTCGGCAGTGGGACAGCCTTTGGAACTGGATCATCTAGCACCGAAAGCAATTCTTCTAAAAGTGGCTTCTCTTTTGAACAGTCAAAACCTGCAGAAAAAACACCGGAAACCACCACAACCTCATCATCTTCTGTTTCTTTCACGCCACTTTTTTCCTCACAAGCAAAAAGTGACGATGCAGAATCGTTAAGTATCGCCACATCAACAAACACCAACCCAACCACCACCACAACCTCCACAAAGGGGTCTGTATTTGGGAGATTGGGCGAGCCCAGTTTGGCGACTGGTACACCCAAAGTGAGCTCTACATTTGGATCTGTAGCAGCAGGGAAAGAGCCAGCTGCTTCCACGTTTACCTTTGGAAAGCCGGAGGAGAAGGACGCGCCTGCAGCCCCATCGAGCTTCATCTTTGGTGCTGCTAGTAAGGATGCAGATGGTGCAGCTGCTCCAGGAGGCTTTTCTTTTGGCAAGCCCAGTGCTCCAACAGAACAACCTCCAGCAGCTTTTATTTTTGGCAAGCCTGTGGATAAGAGCGAAACGTCCACTTCAGAGACACAAAAGCCTTCATTCACTTTTGGACAAAGTGCTTCAGGTAGTTATTTTGTAAATGTTTTGCATGGGGTTGGGGGGGGTTGAAATATTAATTTTGTTCAGAGTGTTTGTATTAAAAAAATCACATGGTCTTTTCCTGAACAGATTCTACTGCTGCTGCTAAACCAGCATTTAATTTCATGGTAAACAATCCTGCCAACACCACCAACTCCACCACCTCGTCAACCACAACTCCCAGTTTGTTTGGCACCGCCAGCAGCAGCACGTCCACACCAGCACCAGCTTCTTCTGCAGCTCCCAGCACCTTTGTCTTCGGTCAGCCTTCTGTAACCACCAGCAGCGATGCTCCCGCTGCTAAAACGTTTTTGTTTGGACAGAATCAAGAAAGCCAGTCCTCGGCTCCATCAAGTGCTCCTCTGAATTCAGTCCCGGCTCCAGGTCATCCCTTCTTCTTCGGAGCTGCTGCCAATGCAGCTGCTCCCGCGGCTCCCTCTTTTAATTTTGGAGCTACAGCACCCTCTGCAGCCTCTACATCAGGTTGGTATCAGTCACGTGTCACAAGTAAAACATGCCTGTACTTGAAGAGCTTTGAAACCATCTTAAACTGCATTTTATATATATATGTTTGTTTTTGTACTTGCAGCTCCGTCTGCAGCTCCCTCCCCATTTGTGTTCAGTTCAGCCCCCTCTGGAGGTTTCGGGACCAACCAGACTCCTGCATTTGGTTCCTCTTTTGGATCCCCTTTCCCAGCCACAGCTTCCCAAGCCCCCACCTTTGGAGCCAAACCCAACGCTGCCCCCATTTTTGGACAACAGACAAACTCCACACCTGTGTTTGGAGCGGCTGTTAATTCTGCACCAAGTGAGTTTATATCGTGTGTTTTGTTCCAACTTGCTGTTTTTTTATGAGATTTGAGGTCACGTGTTAATTTAATTGTTTTTACTCAGGTGGAGGCTTTCAGTTTGGAGGAGCGAGTGCATTTGCAGCCACAAATAACACCAACTCAGGTGTTTTTACATTTGGAGCAGGATCTGGAGCCTCTCCTGCCACTGCTGCCAACCCCCCCATGGCCCCCCAGTCAGGAGCAGCTGGTGGTGGATTCAACTTTACTCAACCCCCAACATTTAACATAGGGTAAGTTTGAGTTTTGTCAGCAGTGTAGTTTTTTAGTTTTATATATGATTGTTGTTTGTGTTGACTTCATATCAATTTAACAACAAATAGTTCTGTATCAGTGAGTGTTGCACGGATTGAGAGAAAACATGTGCGAGACATGTTGTTGGTTTAAACTCATAACTGACCCTGAAAATTTTAACTAAAAATCAGAACAAGCTGAAATGTCTGTGTTTTGTCCAAGTTTCAACAACGCAGTTCAACATAGTTTTTACATACTTCTGGTTTTAAGGAAACGTGCACCTTTTGCTTAATGTTCAGTGGAATGGTTCTAATAGAAACAGATACCAGAGTTTATTGTGCAAGTTTGATTAGGTTTGTGATTTTACTTAAACATTTGTACAAACTTTAACAATATTGCCTCTTGATAGTCAGTGAGCCTCTTAACAGGTTTATGAATACAGTAGCCCCTCGCTACTTCGTGGTTCATGTTTCGCAGACTTGCTCTATCGCGGTTTTTCAAAATAAGATTGGACATGACACAAATGGCTGATAGATGGATGAGCCGCACGATCGGCATGGAATTTTTATTTAAAATAAATTATTTAGCAACTGCTGCACCTGTGTGCAGCCCACACTGCAGGAGAAACGTCCTCCTGCAGCTCCTCCTCCTCCCTCTGTCTCTGCTGTGGAGAAGTGGGCGTGGCCGAAAGTGCCACTGTGGCACAGAGGAGGCAGGGAGCTGAAATCATAACATTCTGTCCTCTTTTAGAGCACTTAGAAACATGGTTTAGAATAATGCAAGAGTGTGGGAAGGGTTTAAAACACCTTAATATATAAATACTAAAATAAACTTCTACTTACTGCTTGGACTACTATTCCTACTTGCAGTTTTTCACTTATCACGGGGCTTCAGGGTACGGATCCCCCCCTCCCTCGATAAACGAGGGAATACTGTAATTAAAATTTAAGACTGGTGATTGTGTGTAATTTTAAAAACAAGAATGATTTCTGTTTTTCTAGGTCAGCTAAATCCTTCACTGCCTCTCCAGCTGGACCGTCACCAATCGCTGGACGTAAAATCAAGACTGCAGTTCGGCGCAGAAAGTAGACCTGCATGGCCGTGACGAGACGGACTTGACTTGGACTCAACTGCGTCTCCAGCTGAAGATTAAATGAAATCCTCAAAGGTCTCAACTGGACATTGCTTGGAGAGGCCAAAGCTCGGCACAGCTTTGTGTTTAGCAAGTGGGCGAATTTTAGCTCAAAGCTCAGCTGGTCGTTACAAAGGTTTTTTTATGTTTATGTTTGAGCGTCATCGTGTATGAGACCTGAGGGCTTCACTTAAGCAAAAACTGTTGACCCAAACATAAAAGACATCAATCAAGCAGACACTTCCCTCTGAACACAGAATAAGCGAAGCAGTCATATCTTTATTTTACACGCCCCACAAATGTCTGCTAGACTCTAGGCATGACTTTTTCTAACAAAATTACAAAGATGAAAAACTGCAAATTGATAATAAAAAATGTATGCGAGTGTATACTTTAATAATTAGAATGGATGATCAGAGTTTGAGCTGTGGAATGGAGAGTAGTGCGAGCTGTGTGGTAAATCTCCAGTGGTAATCCAGCTAAATATTTAGACTGCTCCTTTAAAGGATCCACTGGCGATGTAGCCAATGTGTCAGTGCAGTGTGCTGTATGTACAGGGATGAGCGTGTTTGAATGCAGAGCGCTTGTCTTTTTCCCCCTTCCCTCTTATGTACAGACTTGAGGTGTGTTTGGTTTCTTTGTACATGCTGAGGATGAGTGTCGGTGTGCGTTTAAAATTTGAAATGACAGAGTTGTTGCCTGGATTGTCACCTGGCAACACCACGAGGCAAGCAAGCAAATGAATGTTTAAAAAGAAAACCAGGGGAAGAAGGAAGGAGGGCAGGGTTTGGGAGCTGGGAAGATGCGTTCATGCATCTTCCCAGCTCCTTTAGGACTTTGTAAATGCATAGTTTCAACTCTTATTAGATGTTTGGTTTTTCTCTGGTTCGCTCCACAACTGCTTTTTGTGCCCTCTTGTCTTTCTCAATCCCTTCCTCTTCCTGATTCCTTATTCTTTCCCTTTATCTGTCAACCTCTCCTTTCTCTTAATTGGCCTTTGATTATATAAAAAAAACTTGTAAATAGTGATATTTTTTTTAATCTGTGAAGTTGATTTTTTTTGTGTTACAAACTCTGCATCCAGCTTTTGTCTTTAGAATCTATTATGTAAATTCCTAGATTCAAAGTTGCCCGAATCCATTTAAAAAGAGCTTAAATGCAAATTGGAGAACCTTTTAGGTAAAGGTATATTGGCTTTTCTGATCCACTTTTGTTTGGACCAAAACCAGTATTGTACAAAGTATTAATATATATTTTTCTATTGCGTGTTTAAATGGACGAGGGTGACTTTGGATGAAAGGGACGTCAGTTTATTTTAAAGCCATGATTATTTACTGGAGGAGTGATAAAATTAAAACCATGGGTAATTACCATCAATAAAACAAAAAATTGTGATGTTGGGAGTTTTTATTTATTTACCATATTTTATTTTTTAGCGTCATCATTTTTACCCTGTATGACTTGGCATTAATTGAAAATGTTGTTATACAACTTCGTAGAAAGATAGAATTTTAAAACTATTCTCATTGTTTTGGTTCTAGTCTCGAAATGAGCCAGTCAGCTTCTCAAACACAATTTAAACAATAATAATGCAAACAACCTGAGAGCTAAACCCAGTAAACCAGAGGAAAGTTGGGCTTGACCAAGCCTTGTCAGAGCACTTTAGCTGAATTGATTTTACAAATACGAAGCTAGTAAGTTCTACTTACTTTTTTGCACTGAGCGTCTGTGGCTAGCGTTAGCAACGCACAGCTAGCTAGCCAATACAGAAAATCGAATAAGAATGGCAGTACGGTTGATTTCAAAGCTTTATTATTCAGTTTGGTCGCTATTAAAATTTATTTGAAAAAAAAAAGAAAAAGTTTCTTTATAAAACTCGACAAAAATTGGTAAAAAAAGAAAAATTCTGCGCGATTTTCTCAAGAGCAGGCCAACTTTGCTCTTGTTGCGCCTGCGCAGATACGAGGTGGCTAACAGCTAGCTAGCTAAGCTAAAAACAAAACAACGTTTGCTTTCAAAATAAAAGCGACGCAAAAAACGTAGAAGCTAGTTTCAAAATAAATTTCGCGCTATTGGAATTTCCGTATTGAATTAACTTGTTTGTTTATATTTGAATTTTGATTTTTATTGAACCATCACGGGCCGGACGTGGTGGCAAGGCGTGCGTAAAAAAAGCCAGTGTCCTTTATTTCATTGTAAGTATTTTATATTTAACTTTTTATCTATTTTATTTAAGTATTTGACTCGACTTCTAACTTTAAAGATCACGAACAGATTATGAAAACGTGTTGTTTATAGATATGCCATGCTGTTTAACTATATATATATATTTTAAAGTAAAGCATTATTCATAATTCATAGTTAGGCTGGGGTTTTGTGACAAAATGGGTTATATAAATACAAAAAAGGTGTATTCACGTTTGTAAATAAATAACATTGTATCCATAGAGAATGCTTGAGAGTGTTATGTTCTTTTGTGTTTCCTAATTTCAGATGCTAATGCCACATCTTCAGGTTTTGCTCTGAATCTGACCTCAAGCACCGCTTTTCTAAACAAACCTTGATACTTGCAGGAATTTCTAAAAAATTAACTGGAACCGACAATAACAAAATGTATGTATATATGCTTGGCCTCAATATACAAGTGTGTTTTCAGAGTTTATTTTTAAATTTCCTCAGTATTTAGATTGAACACCTTCAACAAATCCATTCAAAATTATTTTTTATTAATTTACTCTGTCCTAACCGTTTTGTCCCTTTGTCAGGCAAAATTATGTAAAACAAGAAAACCGGCTGAGGTCAGGAGGAAAGCTATGCCTTCCTGCCCTGTCCAACAGTACAAGTCTGTTGCACAGCAGGCCACTGCTTCAGAGTCAAATCCTGAAGTTTCAGGAGGAATTTGTCTACACCATGGGCAATGATATCTCACAAGTAAGTGTTCAGACAGTGCTTTTTATTATAATTAAATAAATGCTTGAACATTAAGAAATGCTAGCTGTTCGCAGATCCCTTCTGCCATCCGCAACACTATGAGTCATCTCACCTCTCGGCACATGGAGGTCGGTCAGTGGCAGGCCCACATATCACAGAGGATCAGCCAAGTGGACCTAGAAATCGCTGCAGTGGAGCAGGTACACCGAAATGATCCTTAATAGAGTGTGAATAAATCTGAAAACTGTTGCTGAAAATGTCTTCAACGTGTTTCTCTCTCAGGTGAAAGACGTGGTCGAAGGCTGTCTCCAGGATAAGCATCTCTACAGTCAGCTCTTGAGCGACTGCGTGGAAATGGGCAGCACGCTGAGCTCAGCCTGTCTGAGACAGGACCAGGCCATCACTGAGCTGAAGAAAGAGGAGCAGCTGACTAAAGAGAGCACAGATCTGCTGCAGAATCAGATCAGTGTCCTGCTTGGGAATCTCAGGTCTGATTGTTACTTGGAAAAGTCACATTCATTAAAAAACTCTCACTCGACTGTGGGAATTAATGAGATGTTGATAGATACTTTATTTGTGGGTGTACACAGGTCTTATGTCTTATGTAATGTTTTCATTTTTACTTTATTTTACTTTATTACTATTCGCACCTTATGTCGAAGCAAATTCCTAGTTTGTGAACCTCGTTCATTGACATGGCAATAATAAACTGATTCTGATGCATCCCTCCTTCCTCTCGTCTCAGCTCTTTGAAGGAGATCCGCGCTCAGCTGCAGGACGATTTGCAGGACAAGGGCAATGCCATGAAGCTCCTCAACAGATGCATCACCTGTGAGGTCAGCACCTCCTGCTCCCAGCTGCCTGCTGCTCATTACAAACTCAACCATGCGAGCCATGACAAATCTCACAGTAAAAACCTGAAGCTGAAGGCTGATAATCTCCTTTTGGACTCTATGTCCTTCAGAGGCATCCTGCAGTTCTCTCTGGCCAAGGTAAGGCAGCATCTTTTAATATTTGTTTTTTCTGTCTTGGATATTCAGATTTTTTGTTTTTTTTCCAAGTGTCTGATTTGTGCACGCTTGACTCTTCTATTCTTATGACCACTACAGATCAAAAATTCCCAAGAGCACCAGCGGCGGAGCACCGAGTACTCACTCAGGAGGAAAATCCATCAGCTGAACAAAGTCAAGGAAATGCTGACGTGGGAGAAGCACTGGGTCAGTGGGCTGGGGATCAACCTTTCACACCGTCCAGCTTTCACTGAAGCTTGATTATTTTATTGGTTTTCCTGGTCTTCTTCAATTTTAAGATCATCAAGGAGATTGCTGATCTGACAAAACATGTGCAGAAACTGGAAAGTCAGATTAGAAACTGTGAGTGCAAGCTGCATCAGACCACGCACCGCTTGGACATCCTCAGCCTGAGACGTGATCTCTGCCTGGGCCAGGTAAGAACCACACCTATTCATAAATCACATCTGTAGGCATGCTTTGAATTCTGTTGTCGTTCCTATTTCAGCCTCACATCAGCCTCACACAGCAGAAACAAGACCTAGCAAACCTTTTAGCAGGTTTGCGCTCGATGCTGAGCTGCTCTCAGTAAGTCTGTCCACTCAGATAATATCTGCTCATAATCAGCTGTAGGTGTTTCTCTCTGAATGACCCCCTGGTCATCATCACTCAGGCAGGAAGTGGAGCGCACACACAGACGCCTGGCGAGTCTGGAGGACAAACTGGTCAAGAAGGCTCAGCACCTGGAGGTGACACAGAGCTGCCAGAACCTTCATCAGAGTTCCCTGCCTGCTTTCAACAGAGCTGTGGTTCTGGCTAACAAGCCCATGTTCCCTCCGGTGAAGGGAGGCACTCAGACCTACCTGCAGTAAACTGTTGGTCTGATCCCACCTGGGGTCCTATCCATGTGGTGCATTTAATAAAATACCTGCAAGAAATTAATGTCTGAGAGAATTTGATGGTTTCAGTGAAGTGACTTTGACCAGAAACTTTATAATTATGAGAATATGAAACAAAAAGTTTTTCTTAAACATTTCGAGTAAGGAAATTAATATTTCCTCTGCAGACACATTCCCAGCTTTTTAAAGGTATTTAAAGATGGCTGTTTAGCTTTCAGTTTTCTTCTTTGGCTGCTTCCTTCTTCAGGGGTCGCCACAGCGAACAACTCGCACAAAAACTTGGCAACTGTTTTTACGCCGGATGCCCTTCCTGACACAACCACAGACCACTGAGCTACCACAGCCCTCTGTGTGGAGCAGAGAGCTGCTATCTAGGACACCCGGGGGAGAAGATGGTGGGGGTCTCAAGGGCTCAAAATGGGGCAAATGAGGGTGGAGGCAGGTGTGGGTGCTTCACCTACCGCCCACATTTTGATTTTGTCTGTCCAGGAAGTTGAACCAGCGACCTTCCGATCACAGGCCTTCTCTAACCTCTGTTCCACCACTCCCCTTAAGAAATACTAATAAAAAAGTAAAATGCTAAACTTAAGAAATGCTAATATGCTATTTATAAGAAATGGTAATGTTAATATGCCAAACAAAAAAATCCCAATATAAAACTAATAGGCTAGACTTAAGAAATGCTAAAATAAAACTAATATGCTAAAATTAAGGAATGGTAGGGTAAAATGCTAAACTAAGAAATGCTTAAATAAAGCGTATGCTAAACTTAAGAAATGCTAATATAAAGTTAATATTCTTAACTTGAGAAATGCTAACAAAAAGTAAAATGCTAAACTAAGAAATGCTTAAATAAAGCGTATGCTAAACTTAAGAAATGCTAATATAAAGTTAATATTCTTAACTTGAGAAATGCTAACAAAAAGGAAAATGCTAAACTTGAGAAATGCTGCTAAAGCTAATAAGGTAAACGAAATGTTAATGTGCTAAATTGAAGAAATTGTAATTTATATGCTAATTAAAAATAGGCTAATATAATGTTATTATGCTACACTTGAGAAATGCTAAAATAAAACTAATATGCTCAAATTTAAGAAATGGTAATAAAAAGGTAAAATGCTAAACTAAAAAAATGCTTAAATAAAGCTGCTAAACTTAAGAAACGCTAATATAAAGATAATAAGCTAAATTAAAAAATGCTAATATAAAGTTATGCTACAATTAAGAAATGCTAATACTGTATAAAGCTAATAAACTTGAAAAATATTTATATGCTAAACTGAAGAAAGGGCATTTATAGCTGAACGGAAGTGGCATTTTAATAGTTTTTTCTGTTATTAATTGTTATTAGTCTCTAGTTATATGTATGTATGTATAAAAGCAGTGTTGTGTCAGAGGTCTGACCCAGTGTTTTGTTCTGTTTGGTCGCGGGGGTCAAACAGGTCAGATTTGTTGTAGCAACGGGCCCTAGCAACGCAGCCGGTGGAGACCAGCCAGCTGGATCCGAGTGGAGGAATTTAACACGACACAAGTCATCATATAAACGGGGATAAAAAGCCACCGGACGAGGTGTAAATACACCTGGAATTTATTTTTGTTTTACCTTTGAGGTGAAGATGGGATGCGGAAGTTCCTCAACTGCGGTCCACCCGCTGACGAAGGGGAACGGAGACCAGGTTGATTTAATTCGTTTTTTTGTTGTTGACACTTTTAATTTTATCAAAACTTTAAAGATGAAATAGGCGTCATTTTCAGGCGTTATCGTCGAGTGAAAAGAGGTTCTTATTGTTTCGTGCCCGCTAATCACGGCTAAGTAATGTTTGACTGGTGTTGTGCAAAAATATGTACACCGTAAATTTTGTGACACAAAAGAGACCTTACTGCTCCCTCAAAACAAGGAGGAAACATTTTCTCCTGCTGTGCTTTAGATTAAGTTTAAATTGTAAATTTTTGTATACATTATTATTTGTTTATTTGTTTGTTTTTGGTAAGCCTGCTTTAGCTAAGAGACTTTTAATTTCATTAAAATTTAAAGTTTTATTCAGTTTAACAGTTTTATCTTTCTAAGTTTTATGTATGATAAGTGAAATACAAATAAGAAATAAAACAGGAGCTTCCTCTTAAATGGTGTTCATGTATCAAATAACAGAAAACAACAAGTCAAGTTTGAATAAATGTTTGCCATTATAATCTGTGAAAACAGATTATATTTCTTATAGCGGTTGCCTTTTACATAACTTTAAAGCATCTTGTAAAAGTTAAGCTTATTGTTTTGTTTTTATGTTTTGTGGTTTAACTGTTATAACTGTGTCATTTCTTAAATATGATTAGTTTCGTGTTTAAAGCAACATTCATAAATATTAATAATGTCTCCTGCTGTGTTTTTGTGCTCCAGGATGAGACAGGTAGTAAACTCGGTTGCCGTGGCGACTCTGCTGTGTCAAAGGGCACCACAGACAGCGGTGTGGTGATGGAGAACGGAAACGTCCCGATGTTACCTGTGGCGGTGCCCGACAAACTCCCTCCTCTAACATCTGAGAGCGTCATTGACAGCGAGGCGGAGCGGGTTACCCAAGACGGTGAGTTTAAACTCCTGAATCCATGAGATTTTTGTCACATCACACACACAGAGAAATAATGACTTTTTAAACTTTTATTTTATTTTGTTCAGCTGCTGCTCCAGGTTTGCTGCAGGAGGATGATCTAGTACAGGGGCGGCTGAAGTCCAGCGAGATCCTGGAGGAGCTGCTGAGTCAGGGCATCATCCCGGTGGGACAGAGCAGAGAGAGAGGCAGCGGGGCCGCCTACAGCATCATGGTGAGGGCCTCATTATTCATACTAATTACACTATTATCTACTAAAAGGTGGAATTTCATTTTGTCTGATTGCAGTCATCATCAATCATTAGATTAAGATGAAAAGTCTTTTAATTATCTTTAATTGTGTTCATTTGTTTTAGTTCATGCAGTTAAACATAGACTGCGTTCAACCTGTTTTACCTTCACCGTCAACTTTTCTGTCAGTGTTTTGTATACCTTCGCTGCTTCCTTTACTTTAATCTTTCTTCCCATTTTGTGACTAAAACACCAAAGCTGTTCCTATTTAATTCGAAGTTGATTTGAGAGTCACAAACAAAATGTGTAAGGTACAAATAGGATCCGCTGCACCTATAAGACAAAGTTTTTCCTTGTATTTAACCCGAATGTTTCCATTTTGAGAATTATTTTAGGATTTAGGAAATGGACACAAACATTTATGTTCAGACATTTTAAACCACCCCCAGTTTTTTATGCAGTTTGAACCTATAAAAAGTGTGTGAAATAAAGCAAGTGTTGGACAGAAACAGACACATGAAGCCTTGATAAACTTCAGTAAGTCACATCTTTAAGAAACAGGGAACAAGCCTCAAGTTTTTTGCTAAGTGACACACGATTGCTTCATCCTTCAGATTAAGGAGACATTTTTATGGTTGAATAACTTAATTAACTCGTTATCAAGTAATAGACAAAAACATTTTTCTTCCCAAATAGTCAGATCCCCAATTGAGAAAGAGTGAAAATGATCCAAATCTAAAGAGAAACATTGAAAGGTCTTTTAAACGCCTGGAGAACTATGAATTAAGATCATTTTTTTAGACATTACAAGAAAGCCTGGCTTCTTGTATCATGAACTGTGGTTCTGGAGTTGAACCAGAGTGCAGACAGACACGGAGGACTCAAGGATCAAAGAAAGAAGAATTTAATTTATTAACAAGAAAAACGACTGATGTGGCAGCAAAACTTACAAGAAATAACCAGCAGCGTGTGAACAAGGACACATGTGGGAGGACAATCCACGGAGCGGGAAGAAACAAATCGAGACAGAACTTATGAAGGACACTAACGAGGCTCAATGGTGAACACCTGGAGTGATTGGGATGGAGGACAGGTGAGATCGGAGCTGGCAGCACGAGGGAAGAAACGCTGAAGGAGGACAGAGAAAACACAAACAGAACACAGATCCTCTCATCTTGGGGTGGTTTTAAATTTTTGCACAGTCCTGTGTGAGGCGCTACGTGTAGAACATCCCAGATCACACGACAGAACCACACGATCCTTTACTGTATGATTCGAGGAGGTTCTGTATGATTCTTTGGGGTCAATAACTGAAGCCCAACAAAACATTTAGCCTCAGACCTTTAGTTTCAGATTCCACTGGTTTAGACCTGGGGTCTGCAACCTGCGGCTCTGGAGCCACTCTTTGGTCCCTCTGCAGCAGCTCCAAGCTTTGATTAAAATTAACACAAAACTGAAGTTTACTGGTTGTACAAACAACAAGAGATGTCTAGTTTTAGCAGTTTTCTGCTCATTTATTTCGCCAACATGTGAATAATACTAACACAAGGAGTAAAACCTGTTGGCTACATCATGCTAGTAGTTTGTTAGCCACTTCTGTTAGCTCACTTCCAGTCTTATGGTGTGATCTTTTTCTCAAATCCACCAACTTTTTGAGGGGGATACCTTTAAGGCAAGTTGCTGAGAAGAAATATGGTGATTCAACTTGATAACAATATAAATTAAAGAATTTAAAAAAAAGTAAATGGAAGTATTTATTTTCAATTTAAAATTCAATTATGTATCCAACAAACTGGCTTAATTTTTTACTTTATGCTTTATTACGTCATAATATGATACTTTATGAATTGTTTCCACAATTGCAAAGATAACTCACATAAACTTGCACAGTTGTGTTTGAATTTTTATAAAATTAGTAAAAAATTATATATTTTTTTCTTCTTTACATAAATCCAGTCTTTTCTTTTGCCCTAAATATAAAAATATCAATAAATATTAATAATAATTTAATATTTTAGTTTCATAATATCACACCTACTGGCTGTAAAAGCCCCCTCCAAGTGGCCCGTGGGCCACCAGTTGATAATCACAGTTTTAGCAGGTTTTGCAGCTCCATGGACATTTTATTTAATGAGTGAAGGAGCAGAAATGGCTCTTTTGATCATAAAGTTTGCAGACCCCTGAAATAAATGATGTGGGTAAAAAACATGTTTTTCTGCTGAGCTTATATAATTTTTGTTTATAATAGTTGGATGATAACGGAGGTAACATGCGAAGACCTCCTGCCAGACTGGAGTCTCTTAAGGCCCAAAAGGCTGAAAGTCTTCACAGCAGAGAGGAGTTTGATGAGAAGATGAGGCTGGTTGAGGAGAGACGTAAGGTAAACTGTGATCATTTCCTCCACCACCTTTTTTTTCTCCACTCACAATCCCACACTGTTCCTTCCCTCTTTCAGTTAAAGGAAGATGAGCGTACGAGACGTTTAAGGACCAGGTCTGCTCGCGTCCGTGGGCTCGCTCCCATCTCCAGCCTCGAGGAGGATATAGACGCCTCCCTCACCCCCGTGGAGTCACTACAATCACCTCCCAGTCTTGGCGTGACCCCGGCTTCTCCACTTCAGATTCCCCGCGAGGACGCAGAGGGAGGAGAGAGGGTCAGAGAGGCCGGAGGTGACGGCAGGGAGGAGACGAGGAGGGGACGGTTAAATGAGGGAGGAGATAATGAGCAAGGTAGAGAGGATGGTGGCGTGGAGGAGAAAGAGGAGGTGACCCATGTGGAGGAACTGAAGGCAGGTGAATTCCTCCCAAACTCAAAAGAGCTGGAGAGTGATTCTAGCTTTCAGCACCCACAGGAGGAGGAAACATTAGTTTCCTCCATAAATGAGCCATGAATTAGCACTTCACGAGGGAGTCAAGGAAGAGGAGGAAGCCAAAATATTTCTTTTTGCACGAGCCAGAATTTTTACACATCGTCCCGAGAAAAACCTGCAGTGGAAATTAGACTGTTAGCAGGAGAGACTCTGGCCCGGGATTATCAAACTACTCAGCAGAAAACACAAAAATATATATTTTTACCCTGAAATCTGAACGTTTTAGTGTTTGCCAACAAACCAAACTAAGTCTGCTTTAACTGCTTTATTCTCTAAAACAATCTAATGTTGTGTCTAACTCTGCGTGGGAGAGCAGCAGTTGTATCGGACACAAGATGGCATTATTTCAGTGAGTTGCAGCTGCTTTGCTGCTCTGTGTGCAACAATGGAAGATAAGCTATGAAGTGTTGGGAGACAGAAACTGTGATAAACAATGTGCATAAAAAAAACTGTTCCATGTTTGTGTAAACCTACTGTTTAGTTGTGTTTGTTTTTATCTCCAAATGACAAATTTAAAGGAAAACGGCTAAAATCAGGAGGATATCGGATGTTAGACTTTAGTGTTCAGCTTTTGTAAATTTTCTGCATAAGGAAGATTTGCAGGCGTGCTTCAGCTGTGGATTCTTTGAAGCTTTTATCTTTTACCTATGCAGCTCTGCATCCTCTCCAAGCGAAAAAGCTGCCACACAAACTTATAAATAATGGGTCTTTGCCACTTTTCTCTATATAAAGTTATTTTTTAAATTAATATTGTGGCAAATGAAGAATAAATTAGGTTTTCAAAAGGGTCTCCATGTTGTTTCAAAAATAGCCGATTAAGATTAGCCTGCATGCCGAGCATGAACAGATACACGAGGAACAAAACTTTATCAAGCCCCCATTATTAAGCTGGAGAAGCTTGATTCAAGTTTCCTCTTTTTTCAAAATTGTCTCCGGACATTAAAGGTTTTTTTTTTTTTTTTTTTAGGAGCAGCTGACTTTGAGCTCCTGTCATGTTCCTGCTTGATGACTACCTTGTATTTAAACTTTTACGTAAATAAAATGAAAACATCATTCAGCCTGCAGGCTTCTCTTGGAAGAGGTTTTGAAGACCTTCACCTGAATAAAGGATCTGAAATAGAGTGATCTCATGTATCTGTTGATACAACCTGATCTAAATGTGCCAGCCTGCTGGAGGCCAAGATCAGCATCTGTCATAAATAATGAACTTCAGGGTTCGGTCTCACATTACTGAGGCTGAGTCCTGGATGTTCAGGAGGAAACTGGGAGATCCAGGTGTCTGATGGTCGGCGTACGATGACTCACTTGTTGATTCTTCCAGCGGTAACTCAACTTCTCATTAACTAAATGTAAATAAATAAATAGCACAAACAGAATACAACTCAGAAGTTTGAGAGAAATAAACTGGACATTTTTAACTGAATATACAATAGGGCTGAATGATCGCTGTACTTAACTTGAGAAGCTGAAACTGAGCTGTTAAAGCTAAAAGAAGCAGAACACAAGCTAAAAGTAAAAAGTTTGGTATGGGCTAAATGTATTATGCTAAAAGTTAAAAGTACCAGAATGGTATCTAAAAGCTGATAGCTAATTATTAACATAAAGCAACAAAAAGTAGCTCAAATGATCAAAAGCTAACTAAAATCGTCAAAAAGCTATATAAAAGTATCAAAAGCTTTGCAAAAAGTAGCAAAAGTTTAGAAAAACATTTCTAAAGGTTTGAGCTAAAGTATTCAAAAAGTTAGCCAGAAGTATTCTAAGGCTATACAAAAGTAGCTAAAAGTATCAAGAGGCTAGTTAAAAATAGCAAATGGCTAACAAAGTTAAAAAAAATGGCTGGTTGATAGTATCACAAGACTAAAGGCTGGAAACTGAGTTGCAAAAGGCCAACTATAAGCAAAAATGCCAACAGAACTGCAGCTAAAAGCTACAAATGAGAAAATAAAAAATAATAGTTTCAGAAAGAGTTTATTGTATTTGCAAATGAAATTGTGAAAAGTACAAAAGTTAGAAAAAGCTAAAGTCTCAGCAGTTCTCTTCTGAACGAGCAGTTTATTAAATGAAACGATGACACATTTCTTATGAAGTATAGTTGAACAGTGTTGATGAAAAACCAAAAACAGGAAGAAAAAAAAACTATTCAAGAAGGACTGAGAGATGCTGTCTGCGCGCGCTGCAACATAAAATCAATTAAAACCTAACCTTTATTTAATCCCTTAAGAAAAGAGGACAAAGAAAACAACTTTTTATCTTAAATGTAAATCACCGGATGATGAATCCAGCAGGCAGTGTAGCTTCCCAGCTGTTTGTGCTCCTGTGGGCGGAGAACCGCTGGGTGGAGTTACAGGCACCCTTTTTTTTTTTTTTTTTTAGAAATGGATCCAGAACCTGCTGAGTTGAACAGCAGAGTTACCCGAAGAGGAGCTGGGAGCACCTGATGGTTGAAACTTTGGGACAGTCCGCTCCTTGTTTCTGGCTTCTTAACTGTCGGGAGATCAATCTACCTCCAATATTAAGAATAATAAAACTCGTTTTTTGACCCAAAGAAGCGCCGATAAGGAGACTTTTGCACTTTATCTCTATTTTACAGTTCATTTCATTGTGTTTTGCACTAACAATGCACACCACGCAGAAGGACACGACCTACACGAAGATCTTTGTGGGGGGTCTTCCCTACCACACCACGGACTCCAGTCTCAGGAAATATTTCGAGGTTTTTGGGGAGATTGAAGAAGCGGTGGTTATTACCGACAGGCAGACCGGCAAGTCCAGAGGTTATGGATTTGTAAGTATCTTTCCCAACCCAGACTGACTCATCTGACTCGGGTCAGGGGTTGTTTATGTTTTGATAAGCTGTTTATTTTTGTCACTGCGCGGCTCCTGTCGCAATCTACAGCCTTGTTGCGCACTTTTACGCGCCCGGGCACGCTTTACTCTGCGCCCTCTCCAACAGCTGTATGAGGAAACCTCATGACGTGATAATAAAGAGCACGTTAGATGATAATTAAAAAGCCATGACTTCATCAGCTGCTGCTTCTCACAGTAGAACCTGCTCTAACTTGTCACTGAAACCATTTGGAGCTGAAATAAAAAATAAAAACCCGACGCGCAAAAGTCTGGAGGCGTCATAAAAGTAACATTATGACCATAAATATTATAAATATGTTTTCTGTGACGGTTACAGATTTATGAGGCATAGGGCTAATTTAAACCAACATTTCAGCCTACAGTTACCATTTTTTATCCTCACATCACCATTTATACAGTTTGTGTTGGCTCATGCTTTCTTTAAAGAATACATTTGTTCTGAGAAAAAGAAATCAACAAAAAAGCTTAAACTCTGGACTATTTCTCGTAAATCAGAATACAAATGTACATATTTGTTCTTAGACAAGTTAGGGTGTCAAACTCAGTTACAAAAGGGGGCCCAATTTAAAAACTTGGTTTAACCAAGGACCAATTTTAATCAAGACATTAACTCAAGTCAAAAACCAGACATCTTTGCTCAACAGGAGTTTGATCGCTCACGTTCTTTGTTGCTCTTTCCACATCAAAATCTAAATTTTCTGAAAATTTCTAGTACACTCGTGCCAATTAATAAAATGATGTCAGGAATTTGGGTTTGTTTGTTTTGGAACTTGAGTATTAAATCTTGTTTTTCCAGATGTGTTTTTAGTTTCTGAGATCATCATGTTGTAATGATCCAGTTTCATCATGTGACAGTGATAATTGTCTTTCCTGCCAGATATTTCTGTTTTCTCGCAGTTTTATGGTACACGTAGATCATTTTTATTTGTTTTTTTGCTGCAGCAGAATTTCAATCTCAATTGCTGTTAGACATCTGTGTCCTCCTTGTGTCCTCTGTTTGCTGCTGTCCTCAGGTCACGATGGCGGACCGCTCTGCTGCAGACCGGGCCTGCAAAGACCCCAACCCAATCATCGATGGCAGGAAGGCTAACGTCAACCTGGCCTACCTGGGCGCCAAGCCTCGCATGATGCAGCCAGGTAATCTCAGGGCCTCTTTGTTTCCCAGATTTATCCAGTTTTGTTCCAGAAGTCATCACAAATACTCAGATTGAGTAAAAAATGGAAAATTCCACAAAAAAGGCTCCATTGCAGCCAGTTTTTCAAACATTGAGCTAGAACTTGGTGTGGTGGCTGAGCATCTCATATGTAAAGCTTTTACACAAGACTTATTTTTAAACTTTGCCATAAACTATTGAACTCAACTCTGATTTTTAGCAAAATATACATCTGGATGGATTTGACGGTTGGAAAGTAATCACTGAATGAACATCTACCTCTTTAACTTTTGGAGTCAACATGATTCAAAATGGCCTCCACAAGCAATGGGCTTTGGGAAACACACACACAAAATACCTATAATTCAACTAGTTTTACAGACACTGAGCTTGGTAGTGGCTGAGTATGATCCCCAACACATACTTGGAGCACACTGCACAATATTTTTGCTTATAACTTTGGCACAAACTATTTGAAGCCAATTTGCATCTGTCATTTAGAAACAAAATCTCTTAATGGATTTTAAAGAAACTTTTGGAAAATTACCATTTGCTGCGTGTCTAAAACTCGTTAACATTTAGAGTCTAAATGATTTAAGGCGATAGCCACAGCTAATCTAGCCAACCCCAAAATGGCTATAAGTCAGTTTTCCACATATTGCACTAAAATTTGTGTAGCAGTAGTTGAAAGTAATTCATAACATATTTTCTGAGTGCTTTCATGTCTTACAATCATGCTGAATGACAAAGTTTGACCGAAACGGCTGTAACTCATAGCAGTGGTGTAGTCTATGCATAACGCAGGTATACAGCATATACCCACTAGAAAAGCTTAAGAATTTCAGTATACCCACTTAAAAATGCCTAACGATACATGACATATCATTAGGCACATGTCATTGATACGTTAAACAGCAGTTAAATGTTTCTGTAACAATCTATCTGTATGATGCAGTGCTTGTTTATTACATTCACTTATCTAACTAGTAACTGCCCTAATGTGTAATTATGTGATTTCTCCTGGATATGTATTTTGTGTATTTGGTTTAGTATTTTGGATTTGTTGTATGTTTTATGCTGCTGTCTTGGCCAGGTCACTCTTGGAAAAGAGGTTTTTAATCTCAAGGAGTTATTTTTCCTGGTTAAATGAAGGATACATACATACATACATTATCAAGTTAATTATTGTATAATTAATACTTCTGTACTTACTACTTAATACTTGAACATGTTCTGCTTTGATACTGTTTAATAAATTCTATAACGTTTTTAATACAAAGCCAACTGTTGTACAAAATTTGTTGTACATTTATTGAAATATAAGCATCAGAGAAATTTGGAAATGTTCAGTACCCTTAAAAATCTAAATAAATTGACGGTTACATTGTACTAACTGGGGTACTTTGGTTTCTAAGCACAGTATACCCTCTACAAAAATGTAAACTATATACCACTGGCGTGAAGCGGGTGATAAGCATTTCTTTAATGAATTTTCTGATGTTTGCTCTGCAGGTTTTGCCTTTGGTGTTCCCCAGATTCACCCAGCGTTCATCCAGCGGCCATATGGGTAAGGACGGATCTGATACTTTATATTTCAAGCATTTTAAAGTGAAGGAAGCTGCCGTTTATACAAGGAGTGCGACTGGTGTTTCCTTCCTGACAAACAGCTATGGCTGATCATCAGCAGTGGGTTGTCCCGATGTAAAAAGAAACACGTATGGATGTTTGTGCTGAGTGGACTAAAGGTGGAAACCTGCCGCCTGACTCCGTGTTCTCTCTCTGGTTCGACAGGCTCGCTCGCTCTTAAACTAGCCGTGCTGCTCTGCGGAGTAAAATCTCAGCTCAGACTCAAACGCACACAAACAGGCTCGCTCACTGGTGATTACAGATGCATGCACGTGGGTTTCATTTTCAACTTTTCCCTTTGATTTGAATAGAGCTTAGCTTGGTGTGCAGTTCTGAAGTGGTGTTAGTTGAACTGTGTGTTTTAGTGGAAAAGGTAAAACAGTAGAAAGGTTGGTTGAACTTCTTTGACGCGTGCAAACTTTGCTGAAAAGGTGCAAAGTTTTGATTTGTTTGTTTTACCGTTGCTTTTTGTGATTTTGTTTAACAGTATTTGCTGTTTTATGTGTTTTTATTTTTGGGCTGATGGTGAATTTTCTTGGTGTGGACTTTCTTTGACACTACCAACTTTTTTCCCAAATCCTTCGTACTTTTACTTCTTGGATAACAAAACCCATCACTGCTTGTGTGTACTCGTCTCGAATTTATCACATTAACACGACAGAAACTTTTGATTTTTTTCTTCAAGATCAGAATCTCAGAGCACCATCAAAAAAGTGGTTGAATGACTGAATGACAAGCTTGGCACTGAATGTGCGTCCAGTTTTATGGGGTCTGTCCGTCCACATGCATGCAAGTCTCCAATGTGACACAAACAAATGTCTGGATGTCTCTGTCTCTCTCTTATTCTCTCATAGTGAACTTTCGTCACATGGGCTCGTGGTGTTAGGGAAAACAAGCGCTCCCATTGTGCCACACAAAGCCCCAAATGCTGATGCTGCAGTCGCATGAAGCTTTGAGTTCTGTGTGTGTGCGCATGTGTGTGTGTGTTAGGGGATCCTTCGAGCCTGTCATTCCCTGTCATGCAGCAGCAGCTGAGGTATTTAAACAGGGACTTGTGGGCGTTTAAGTGCAAATGTGTTGATTATTTACACCCAGTTTACATCCAAGTTACACATGATGCAGTATGTGATCCAGATTCAACTGTCAACAGAGCAAAAATACTTTAAATGTACAAAAAATACTGACAGATAAAAGCACTGATTGCGAAACAAGCTTGGATCAGTCAAGGATTGAGAAAATTAAATTTTATGACCCAGAAACCAGACTATAAAGCAATGCTTCTTTGTTTTCTGCAAAGCTGGTAATGTTTGGGTTTGTTTATGATGGATCTATCCAATGTGAGCTCCAAAAAACAAATTGTGAACATACCTCAAATGTGTTTTTTTTTATATTTGATAAGCATCTTAGACATATTTTAAAAAAATACTTTAATTAGTAGACAAAAGCTTCAAGCTGAACAGGAAATAACATCACACAAGAATGCCAAATAGTAAATAATCCTAAATGATAACTAGTAAATAATCCTAAATGATAAAACAGAAAATACCTCAAATAATCCCACAAAAAACATGTATCCTGACATTCTGAGATGAAAGTGAGCTGTAAAATATGAACATTTACAATGAATAGTTCAGTTACTCAAACCAAAGATTTTTAGTATCTGAAACTTAACATCTTTACTGGTTTTAGTCCCAACTAAGTAGTTTAAATTCAAGAGACGGGGGGTGGCGTGTGGACAAAGAATCACAGTAATGAGTCTCAAGTGAACTCTTGTTTCCAAGTCTCTGGATTATTGTCTTCTCCTTTTTTAAATAGTAGATCCTCTATCCTCTTCCTGTTCTAAAACAGGTCGAGACATAATCCCAAAAAGAGGTGAAAATGGGTGGATTGATGGATGGATGGATGGATGGATGGATGGATGGATGGATGGATGGATGGATGGCTGGATGGATGGCTGGATAGATAGATGGATGGGTGGATGGATGGATAGATGGATGGCTGGATAGATAGATAGATGGATGGGTGGATGGATGGATAGATGGATGGGTGG